AAGTCCCGGTAAAATAAAGAAAATTCTTCCTCAATTAACACAAGCACATGATTTCTTGCATACGTGGCCATTATAGTGTTATCGACAATTTAATTTCGCAAAAGATTCAGCTCAGACATTCAACAATTGTTCGATTCGACCGCCAAAAAACATTTGAAAGTTTTATCGATGCCTTCCTGACAAGTTTTTGATTGTTTAAACTTGGACTTTAATGTTTTTTTGTGCAACTCACTATGGGGCAAAATTGAAAAAAAGGGGTAATTCACTTCGAAAATAGGACTCTTTCAATTTAGGTTCTCGGGGTATTTTTTTCTTGTAGAGGACATTAAATTAGACTTGCATGCCAAATTTCAGACCATTTTGTGCTGTTTTTGAGATTCTAGAGCTATTTGAAGTTGAAAATGAGCAAAAAAACTGGTTTTTTCATGACATATTTAAACTTAAAAATCTCTGCAATGTTTAAAGTTATTGAAAAATTGTTTTCGGTTCCTATAAGAACAATATAAGAGCTTTATTTTGATGTATTGTAAAATTTTTAACTTTCCAGTTTTGGTGCTGGTATGGTTGGAAATGTACGAAAATCCTATGAAAAATATCTATAAACGTGCCGCAACTATCTTAGCAGGTCGATTTCCAGGTAACTGAATATACAGAAATATAGCTCTTGATATACAGTTTGTAAAACTGTATAAACATTAGAAATAACAAGGTACGTTTTTGAGAAAAGTTGGTTTGTGTAAGTCGTGAAATATTAAGCCAAAAACTGATTTTTCTCTTAAAAATAACAAATCATTCATAGTAGAAAAGTTTGGTAATGTTTTCTAATTGCAAATAATATTTAAAGACAACCTGCAAAGATTTTTTTTCGAAAAACTCAAAATTTGACGAGATATCGGGTACATTTGATATCTGATGACTTGTATGTTTTTTGCACCACTCAAATGACTCTAACTTTTGTTTAACTTAATATTTTTCAGTTCTGTTTCCTGTTTATTGTAGCTTAAATCAATACCTTTCTAACAATATATAATACTTGATAGTTGCATATGACATTGATCTTAATTATTGACATTGTTTGTGAATGACCCCAAACTAAGAAAAATCTTGAAAACAACATTTCTAGAAATACCACATAGAAAGAAAATTGTATATTGTTTTGAGGTTTTTTATGATGATTTATGATAATTATGACTGTTAAAACTCAAAAACATGGAATTCATAAACTTTTTGCGATCTCAGGTAGCCTGATTAGGTACGACCCTAGTAGTATCTATTGGACCAGAAAGTCTCTAGTATCAGACTATTTTAAAAACTCAAATTAATGAATTCATCATATTTAAGCATATTTATAGCAAAATATTTCATTTTTAGATACATTTGGTTGAAAAATTGTGAATTTTGGCTATTTTGTTTAAGTTCAGCTTGCGTCGGTCACATTCAATCCACTCTAGTTGCAACTATAATGAAGTTTTATACCAGTATTATACATTATCTTAAAGGTACTGATCTAAACTAGCAATAATTGAAAACAGAATGCAAAAATATGTATCCTGAAAAAAGTTAGAGCTCTTTATGTACATAAAAAAGCATACAAAAACGCAACCATCATAGGTAAAAATACAAAAATTGAAAATTTATCAGTTTTTTTTGACAAGCTTTGATTTTTTTGTAATAATAACCACATATAAACACATTTTTAATACTTTTTTGTAAGATTTTCGTTGAAATTTTAAATTTTTGTATTTTTACCTATGATGGTTGCGTTTTTGTATGCTTTTTTATGTACATAAAGAGCTCTAACTTTTTTCAGGATACATATTTTTGCATTCTGTTTTCAATTATTGCTAGTTTAGATCAGTACCTTTAAGATAATGTATAATACTGGTATAAAACTTCATTATAGTTGCAACTAGAGTGGATTGAATGTGACCGACGCAAGCTGAACTTAAACAAAATAGCCAAAATTCACAATTTTTCAACCAAATGTATCTAAAAATGAAATATTTTGCTATAAATATGCTTAAATATGATGAATTCATTAATTTGAGTTTTTAAAATAGTCTGATACTAGAGACTTTCTGGTCCAATAGATACTACTAGGGTCGTACCTAATCAGGCTACCTGAGATCGCAAAAAGTTTATGAATTTCATGTTTTTGAGTTTTAACAGTCATAATTATCATAAATCATCATAAAAAACCTCAAAACAATATACAATTTTCTTTCTAAGTGGTATTTCTAGAAATGTTGTTTTCAAGATTTTTCTTAGTTTGGGGTCATTCACAAACAATGCCAATAATCAAGATCGATGTCATATGCAACTATCAAGTATTATATATTGTTAGAAAGGTATTGACTTAAGCTACAATAAACAGGAAACAGAACTGAAAAATATTAAGTTAAACAAAAGTTAGAGTCATTTGAGTGGTGCAAAAAACATACAAGTCATCAGATATCAAATGTACCCGATATCTCGTCAAATTTTGAGTTTTTCGAAAAAAAATCTTTGCAGGTTGTCTTTAAATATTATTTGCAATTAGAAAACATTACCAAACTTTTCTACTATGAATGATTTGTTATTTTTAAGAGAAAAATCAGTTTTTGGCTTAATATTTCACGACTTACACAAACCAATTTTTCTCAAAAACGTATCTTGTTATTTCTAATGTTTATACAGTTTTACAAACTGTATATCAAGAGCTATATTTCTGTATATTCAGTTACCTGGAAATCGACCTGCTAAGATAGTTGCGGCACGTTTATAGATATTTTTCATAGGATTTTCGTACATTTCCAACCATACCAGCACCAAAACTGGAAAGTTAAAAATTTTACAATACATTAAAATAAAGCTCTTATATTGTTCTTATAGGAACCGAAAACAATTTTTCAATAACTTTAAACATTGCAGAGATTTTTAAGTTTAAATATGTCATGAAAAAACCAGTTTTTTTGCTCATTTTCAACTTCAAATAGCTCTAGAATCTCAAAAACAGCACAAAATGGTCTGAAATTTGGCATGCAAGTCTAATTTAATGTCCTCTACAAGAAAAAAATACCCCGAGAACCTAAATTGAAAGAGTCCTATTTTCGAAGTGAATTACCCCTTTTTTTCAATTTTGCCCCATAGTGCAACTCAATAATCTGTTGATAGAAATCATGTGAGACTCTGCAAGATTCTCTCATGACCATTACTGCAGCTTAAGAGGAAGTCATTTGTTCTGAGCACACACTTTAAGGCTAATAGTGAACGTATTGTTGGGATGGGTTTGTAATTTGCATTAATAATGTATTTCATGGAATTATAATGTTTGTTTAAACCATTTTGTCTTCAATTATGAGCGATTTAAATGTGAATAAATTAAAGTTAATAATGTAAAGACTGATTAGTTTAATTATGACTTTAATTGTGAGATTATTAGAACAATATAAAGTGTCACAAAGTACATCGATCATATAATAATTTTCTTGCTTAAATATAATCTGAGATTTAGTCATAAAGAAGCAGGCAAACTGAGAGCACAGAGGGTAAATATTCAGAGGGAATTCACGTAAAAAAATTGATTTATTGACATAGGTTGGTTGTGAGTAATTTGTCATTTATTTGACATATTTGCTGATTTTCCGGTCTATTAAATTTTGAAAGATTGATAGTATTTGATGTGGGTTATTGAAAATCAAAGACTGAGACTAATGTAAAATAATTTGATAGCTAAATTTCTTTTGATGTACTGAAAAGATATTCGGTGGTGAAATTAAATGATGTAGTAAAATTTGTAGATTAAACTAATACACACTAATTCGTAACATTTCATTAACTGGATTACTTTTATTTTAAACCAGTTAGACAGCACATTCAAGATGCACAAAAGTTTACAGAAAAATTCTTCTTTTTACAACAAAAAAATTCAATAAAAGAATCTCAAGACTTGACAATGAACTTGAACATAATGACTCACTTTACAACATGCAAATTTCAATAATGCGTAACCTAATTTTCAACTTAATCTTTATTTGCGTTGTCTTTCTGTTGTTAATATGTCAAATTTCGCATATGGAATTTCTCGATTTCAATTCGACTTTAGAAATTTTGACATTGAAACGGCAATTGTCAAGACATTTTCTAAACTTTACTTTCATTTGATTGATTTTCTATGAAATTTATTAAATATTAAGTACAAATAATTAATGCCAACTGTTAATTTTGCGAATAAAGTATCAATTATGTTCAATTGAATGAGTAATTTTTCAAATTTCACAAGTTCCTTTTGTCAAAATCGAGAAAGAAAAACTCATTTGTCACGTCCAGATGCTTTTATGTGAAGATGTAAGAAAAGTTTCTTTTGCAACTCTTGGCATTTTGATGCATTAATATTTTTTCTTTCCTTAACTCTTCTCCATTGAGAAATTACACTTATTTCTTACTCTCACTTCTCACATTCAATGATGATAAATTAACATTTGAGAGAAACTGAAGAAAAAGTTACAGGCATGTTTACTGATGAGATAAGAAAAGTTCTTTAGAATTTTAAGATTTTTGCTAAATCCTGTATGTTTTATTAATTTTACGTGCAGATTTCTTGAACAAACTCAAATTTTGACTCAATATTTGTTAGAAATAACAAATCTCAAACTTCTTCAGATACACGAAACTACAAAAAAAAAGAGTTAACATTTCATGCTCTTGAAAATATTTTCAAACGTGACTGGTAAAAAGAAAGAGAGTTATGAGTCGGCATGAAGATATTTCTTTTTATAATAATTTTTATATTCGAGCTAAGCTTTCAGATTGTAGTGAACTCGCATGAAAAGTGGACGTTGAAGAAACGTGCTCCGTTATTTTTAACAAGCAAGAAAAAAAGACTGAATAAAAAAAAAGAGAAAAAAATAAGAAACTGTTAAACGAATTTAGCAAAAGAAGGAAAAAAAAACATTTCTCGTTTCATTACAAATAACAAATATAATTTTGGTGAATTTTTTTTCAATCGACTGTCAATAGAAACTTTTTATTTGGTGAAAATAAAGAAATTTTGCTTTCGTTAGAAAAATTATTTCCTTAATAATAAGAAAAGTACATAAAATAAAGACTAATTGAAACTGAAGACAAACTACTAATAATTCAATAATTGTGCTAGAAAAAGTGCTGAAGCAGATCGAAAAAGAAAAGAAAAACTATTTTTTTTGGACAAGTGTTAATTGAACAAATAAATTATTAAAATAAAAGAAAGAAAAAAAAGTTGATTGAGATCTTCTTGAATTGAAATGTGCGATTGCCAAGTTCGATGATGAATTTGGAACACATTAAATCAATTATTTGATAAAAGTACGAATAAGTTGAAATTTAAATTAAGTTTTAATAACAATTAATGTGTATTAATATGCTTCATATGATGAATGCAAGCGAAAGCTCATCATCATCATTATAACTTGCTCTCGATTAATCTTTTTTTTTACTTCTTCATTAAATTTCGCTTAAAGAAGAAAAATATTTCGAGTAAGTGAATAAGAGACATGCACTCAGACTTAAATACAGGTTTTGCAATAATGTTCATGTGAAAAAACGGTAATATGCATCATATTTGATATCTTATATGACATTGAAAGTTATCACAGCGTTTCAAATTGTTATGCCATCCGTATCTATTCATTTCTTTCGATATTTGACATGTACGCGGATAGTGTTGTCATGTTGCTTAACGCTCATATAAAATTTCGTTTACATCAATTCACATTGTACAAAATAAATGAACAATTCACAACTGCTTTCAAACAAAAATCCTTCTTACGTGTGCGATCATTGTGTGTGATATGTTCGCTATTATTTGGCAAATGCATAATAAAATCGTTGCAAAAAAAAGAGCTAAAGCAGACAAGCTTATTAGAAATTAAATTTTGTGAAATTTTAAGAGCTTTACTATTTTGTTGTTGATGTAATTCAAATTCTTTCTAGTCTCTTTTAAATAACAGAAAATGCTAAATTTCTTTTAAAACTGTAGATTGTAGATTTATTATTCATCTCTGTCTGTCTAGCAGGAAAATCTTAAAATCTTAGTTCTGAAAAACTCCAAAAATGTCTTATTCAAATATCAACAAATATTCAGAACCGGGAATGCGAGAAAGTATGTCTAATGACAGCAGTGCTGTTGTTGATGAGAGAAAATATTGGCTCTATCCAATGTAGGCGGCATGTTGACCAACACAGTATGATATCTGTTTTGGAGACATATAATGAGTCAGATGATATTAATAGATGGAAAAGTATGTCAATAGTTAAGAATTTAATAAGTAATACTGGTTTTTGGCTATTCTGAATAACTTAACAAATCGATGCCTTATTCCAGGATAAGATTTTTAAATTCAGCTCTTTTCAAACTTTATTCAATATTGTTAAATCTTTCAAAACATCCGATCAAGATACGAAATGTTAAATATTTCTTTTTTGGAACTCTTTGAATCTAGACTAAGTCAATAAATTTCTTAATTAGTATTTTAACAATCATAAATTTCACTGAATATCGATCTAGAGTAATGAGAAATTTGAGAAATATATAAGAAAGCATTCCACTTAAATTCAAATTTTTAAATCTCATCATAAAATAAACAATTTAAGAAACAGACCCAAAACAATCAGAAATTTAGCCTAAGGCAGTGAAAACAGCCTGCATCTTAACCAAAGATAATGTCCAGTCATTTCTGTTAATCTGATATTTTAAGCACACAAAAATATTTTAACACACAACAGACAGAATATAGACAACATGTTTAAAAAGCAATTCTCATCCTTTAATCCGGTCATCTGAAGAAATTTTCAAGCACGTCAATCAGACTACGTCATGCATTGTCATACATTCCAAACGTATAATTTATTCATAACATAAGATTAACTTATTATTTGGGTCAATAAACCCTTCTTCTTATTCATTTTGCTTAACACTTGCATGATTATCATAACCCCAAAAAAATTACATAATTTTATTAAAGCGTCTCAGTGAAATGAGATGAATTAAAATGAATAAAAGCTCAATTCATAAAGTGCAAAAGACGCGCCTTGTTAATTAATGAAACTAAAATTATCTTTAAATGCTTACGAGTCTCTCGGATAATGAACAGCAAACGCATGAGCAATTAAGCTAGCGATAAGCAGACGGAAGCTATTAAAATACATATTAGATTAAATAGGAAGCTCCAAAGCTTTAATGTGTTTTTTTCGTAAGTTTTGTTAAGCTCAAAAACTTTATGATTCAATGAACTTATTTATTCAATCACGTAATAAGTGTGTAAGGAATCGAGTTAATACAGCAATATTTTACAGTTATCAAAAGAAATGTTTTTGGAGTGGTAAAGAATGTAATAAATGAAATGTTTCGCAAATGCCGAATAATGGGAGGTTGATTGGATTGCTTGTAAGAGATTTGTTATGCATATACATCATCAATTTATGTGAAAGATCATGAGTCACGATGAAATTTATTAGATAGATTTAGATAATTATTTGATTGATTTTGTCTGGTATGGGTCGTCTCTAGAAAGTCTTTTTTTGGCTCTTAAAAATAGAATTATGATCAGTGTTGAATTCCTAATATTGAATCTAATGTTTTTAAAATTATTTCACGCAAGCAAAAATGTATAAACATTATAAAACTGTGAAAAGGATTAGCTTATAACATATTTACAGTTCTTGAAACTACAAAGGATAGCTTTAATCGAGTTGGGTCGACTTAAAGCTGTGATAATCTATTGAAGCAACTAAAGACCAACAAGATCAAATCTTTCGATTATTTAATGCTTTAAAAATCACCAAAATCATTCAACCAACAACTCTGATTCATAATAAAGTCATTATTTTCCCATCATCATCATAAATATTTAAATTGATTGAAATATCCAATAATAAGTTTGACAGAAATTGCTTCTTAAAATAGACAAGCATAGTGAAGCATACAAAATCAATTTTTTCGGAGAAAATTGCTGAATAAAAAAGAAAACCAAAGCTGCTAGTTCCTCTTCCTGTAAGCAATCTGTTTTTGATCTTTTCTTTTCTTATTGATCAAAGTCCGAAAATTTAATTTACAATTTTCTTCTCGCTTTGATTTTTCAATAGCTTATTTGCAGTAGGGAAACGATAGTGAAATTTTTCTTTTATTTTGTGGATAAAATGAGATTTCACTCAACAAATCTCATAAAGCGTTGAAAGATCTCATTAGAAACAATTGCAGCATAAACTTTAATTCAAGGTAGACATAGATACATAAAGATTAATTCGTTATTGTTATGCATGTTTAATGGAAAGTAAACTATCACGACGACACAATGAAACTGCATACACAAGAAGTAATTCTATCAAATCAGACATACATTCTTCACTTCTTCTTTCTCCTTACAAAAAGCTCTTCAACTTCTTCTTTTACCGCTACAAAGTGTGTCGAAAAATGTAAAAAAAAAAATGGGTTAATTACATTTAACTATGTGCGACGTGAGTTTTATGAACTAACAAACGACAGAGCACACTTCTTTGTCAGCTGTTTAAGAAGAAGAAAATTGTTGTCATTTTCTTTTATTGCTTGAGAGTCAAAATAGAAAAGAAAAAAAGTGTAATTGAGGCTGACGAAAAACAAAATTCGAAGAGAAATAATAAAATGTTGACCCTCAAAAATGTATATTAATCATTTTCATAAAAAGAACCGGTTCGTTGATGACTATTTCATTTCTATATTATTAATATTAATAAGAACATGTTCCAAATACTTTAGATTTCACGTCAGAAATCGAGAGAAATGAGAGAGTTTGTTGACATTACATTATTACGGCATCAGCAAGCTTAATTGAGATGATGAAGAAAATAGATGAAATTATTTCTCGTTTCACTCTCTTGCGCGCTTCATTATGAAAAATAGTGTATTAAGGAAATTCACGATCAAAAAATTAATATTTAAACTTGACTCTTGGTGAGGTAATTACACTCACTATTCGTAAGCCGACTCGCATATGATGCATAGTGTAATATTCAAAGCTTTTTTTTTTTCAAACAAAAAATATAAATTTCCAATTATGCTGTTTTGCCGCAAAAAACATGTTTTCCTGAACATTTTCTTTTCAATGCCACTCATCGGGGCAATGCTTTCTTATAATCATCTAAGTATATGTTTAGTAAAATGTTTTGAAACCATACATTTGTGTCCATTAATTTACAATTTTGTTGCGAATGAATATTTTCCAATAGCATAAAATAATCATAAAAATCAATAATAACAGTCATATGCTCAACACCAAACGCATTGATTGATTACTATTATTAATATTTATGTTTAATGTGGCACTTAAGAAACTATAAGCAGATCTCAAGGGATCATGTGTTTAATGTCTCATAAAGTAGTCAAATAATAGACGTACGAACACTATTGTAGAGAAATCGGTAAGGAAATACCATTTTTAAGTACTCAACACTGAGAATTGCATATTAGATGGCAACAAGTCTTTCTACTTTTTCTTTATTAGTATTTTTTTACCTTCTCTTTAGACACCGCAAAATATAATATGCAAAAGAGTTAAAAAATGTCATTTGAGAAGCTAATGTTGATTGAATTAAGCGCCTTTGTGCGTGGCGACAAAGTTGAAGATTTTTAATTATTGAGTGCACTATTAAGAGGAATGCGGTACTTTGTGACAATTAGACATCTAAACTTTTGATGATAGCTAATGCTAATTTGTGAAATTCATAAAAATATCAATTTACTTTAATCCTATTAGCAGTTTTTCTCAAGCACCATAAAAATTATTAGATACCGCCATTAAATTGCCATATCTTGACATACTTTAGCAAAAACCATCAACCGAGCCACACTAAAGTTCAATAACTCGTTAACCTTTCCATAAATTTCTGGAAATTTAATTCCAAACACGACAAACTGCAACAATCCAGACCTTTCCTTTCCATTAGACATGCATTAGAAAAAAAAGAGAAAATAAATGTTTTGCAATTGCATTTCTTCAAAAAAAAAAAATGTTTTCAGTTTCGTTGCATCAACCAAGCGTGTCAGATTCACAAGTTCGTGTTAAATAAGTTCTGAGTGTGTGTCTCGTAAAAATAATAATCGAGAGCTTTTTTGTGTTTATTCGTCTCAGTCATCAAACGGTAGTGTACACTTATCATTCATTCAAATCATCTCCGGTGATTTCATAATTGTTTTATAAACATGAATAATATTTTTTAACAGCTTGAATAGAATTATGTAATATTTTTATTTTTCGTGTACGAAAATATTTCATATTCGGCATGGACTAATTTTGTATTTATTAATAAATTTTCTTCCCCACATGTGATGTGTTAACAACATTAATGATGGTTAGATCATAAATTGGTGTTAATTATAAAATTTTATTTCCAGGTATTTAATCGTATCATGGGACAAGAGAAATCTCTTCCCTCTCGATGTAACTCTGCAAGTATTTCTAATCACTCTTCAGCTGCCTCCTCAACGTCTCTAAATTCTACAAAGTCACTGACGCCATCGCGTTCACCATCAACAGCATCATCTTCCGCATCATCTACAGCATCGTTTAAAAGTGTAGAACAGCAAACAAAATATTTGAACGAACATTTGTACATAAAATCGTACTTGGAAATTGATAAAGAACATATCGTCAAGGCACAACTATTTAATCAAATAAGGCCGGGCATACGAAATTATAAGCCAAAGATATTGAAAGATAAACTAATACAAGAGGAACTTGACGTGTGGATTTAATAATAATAAAAAATAATTATCTTCTACTAATTTAATCACATAAAGGTCGCAACTCAAATATTTATTTTAAATTAAACGATTATTCAATATTGATAAGCATAATACTCAAACATAAGAATATAAAAGATGTCAGCATTAGCACTTTTTTCATCAATAGCGGCAATTACCTCATCACCGGTGACATTGCTTAGCATGATACCACTCGTGGCAATTGGATTAAATTATTATCGTTATACAAATTCTGACCCTGAGTCGCATCCAATCGACGTTCCTGTTGTAAGTGATACGATCTTGAAAACACTTTTTTTTTTTGTTATGCAATACGAAAATAATAGTCACTTTCTATTTCAATGTTATTTGCGTGATCTTTTTATCTATTTTTATTTTTGCGCTCTAACATTATTTACATTTGCTTTTTCGTTGCAGCTAAGGAAGCATTATGATTTTATAGTAGTTGGGTCGGGTAATAAACCAGAAAACATTAAGTAATTTTCATTAATTATTTAAATTAATTTATTGTTTATAAATTTTTAGGATCTGCCGGTGCAGTTGTGGCTGCACGATTATCAGAAATTGAGAATTGGAATATTCTATTACTTGAAGCTGGTGGTGATGAAACTGAGGTTAGTGATGTGCCAGCATTGGCTGGTTTCTTACAGTTATCGGATTTAGATTGGAAATACAAAACAGTACCGCATCCACAACGGTCCTATTGTGCAGCCATGAAAAACGATCAGTGTAATTGGCCAAGAGGAAAAGTTCTTGGTGGATGCACTGTACTGAATGCTATGATTTACGTACGAGGTAATAAGCGTGACTATGACTATTGGGAATCATTAGGGAATATTGGATGGGGACATAAAGATGTATTGCCGTATTTTATTAAGTCTGAAGATCAACGTAATCCGTACTTGGCACGTTCACCATATCACGGAACTGGAGGTTATTTAACTGTTCAAGAGGCGCCTTGGCGAACACCATTGTCCGTGACATTTATTAACGCACTCAAAGAAATGGGCTATGAGCATCACGATATCAATGGAGAGGAACAAGTTGGCGCAATGTTTACTCAACTTAATATGAGGCGCGGTTCACGATGTTCATCATCAAAAGCATTTTTAAGACCAATTAGACTTAGGAAAAATTTACACGTTGCTAAATTTGCACATGTTACGAAAATTTTAATTGATCCAAATACCAAGAGGACGTATGGCGTTGAATTTGTAAGAAATAATAAGCGACAAGTCGCATATGCTACAAAGGAAGTTGTATTGTCAGCAGGATCATTAAATTCGCCACAATTAATGATGGTAATTTTAAAGGCTTAATTCAATTTTGCAAGATCATTAAAAACAATCTTATCTTATTATAGTTATCGGGAATTGGACATGCACAACATTTGCAAGAAATGGGTGTACCAGTTATATCAGATCTTCCAGTAGGCGATAATATGCATGTAAATAACAATGATCATTATTTTTAATTTGTCGAGATTGTAAGTAATGAAATAAATTTCTTTATAGGATCACATTGGTCTCGGAGGTCTTACTTTCCTTGTTAATGAACCAGTGACTGTAAAAACAAGTCGTTTTGCTAACGTTCCCAGCTTCTTAGAGTACGTTATGCATGAGAAAGGGCGTAAGTCAATTGTCTACAAACCATAGTATTAGAGAAGTAATGAAAATTTTCTCTTTTTAGCCATGACTTTCCCAGGTATCGAAGGTGTCGCATTTGTCAACACAAAATATGCAGATCCATCGGGATTATGGCCTGATGTACAATTTCATTTTGGACCGAGTTCTATTAATTCTGATGCTGGATTACACATTAGAAAAATTACGAATTTAAAGGATAATGTTTATAATACTGTGTACAAACCACTAGAAAGTGCTGAAACGTGGACAATTCTACCACTATTACTTCGTCCAAAAAGTTCAGGCTACGTGAGATTACAAAGTCGTAATCCTTTCGTACAGCCGCGCATTGAGCCAAACTATTTTGCATTTAAAGAGGATATTGCCGTTTTGACCGAGGGTATCAAAATCGCTATGAATGTATCAAATACAGCAGCATTTCAACGTTTTGGCTCCAGACCGCATACAATACCATTCCCAGAATGTCGTCATATACAACTTTTCACAGATGAATATTGGGAATGTGCTATGCGACAATTTACATTTACTGTAAGTAGATTTGAGGCTTAAGCTGTTATGCGGTGGAGTGCTTTTAAGTCGAATTGACTCTTGAGTGCTTATTTAAAAGCTTAAATATTCCATCAAATGGCAGACACACTTTAGAAATGTCAAGTGATTAATGTTTTCACTTTCAAAATTGCAGATTTATCACCCAACAGGTACAGCAAAAATGGGTCCAAATTGGGATCCAACAGCAGTTGTTGACTATAGATTAAGAGTTTACGGGGTTTCGGGTCTTAGAGTAATTGATGCCAGTATAATGCCAGCAATTGTTAGTGGTAATCCAAGTGCACCCGTTATGATGATAGGCAAGAAATTTCTATTTTTAAATATCGATTGCATAACTAATATTTGAATATTTTTTTATAGGTGAGAAAGGTGCAGACATGATAAAAGAAGACTGGGGTGTCATAAAAATTCACTGAAAATTGATTTGATTATTTTATCAAGTATACAACATATGGAAATGAAGAAAATATTGAAAAAAAAATGGAATGAATTCTCGATGTGCCTATCACTTAATGACTACGCGATATGTTGTACTAAATTTTCTCTTTCTTGAAGGCAATAAAGATTAAAAAGTTGGAAAGAGTAATCGATGAGATCGTCTGACGAATAACTTCAAGTAACTACTAGTCAGTGACATTATTAATTTTTTTTTCTTATTTGGTGAATACGAGTGAAATTCAGCATGTGTACTGAATTGTTAATTACAGTTACATACCTTAATAGACGCATTTTATATAAAAACAAGAAATTAATTGTTTAATTAATAAAGTTAAATTTTTTTTAATGTATCTCAACTTCTCATTGAAATTAAGCTCAATGAAATTTAATTATATTTTACTATCTGAACATTTAAATTAGGCATCTTTAACTGACGATACTGAAGATAATTTCATTTTTCTTGTACATACATGTAAGCCAATAGATGTAAATTACAATTAACTTTTTATTGTTTATATGATCAACATTTCTTGGAATTTAGTGAAATTATGCAAAATAAAAATTATTTTTTTAAAGAAAAATTTCTTCCGATTTTTAATCTCATGTAAAATCTCGCGCGTTACCAATTTTCTTTAATTTTGAAAACAAAAATGGAATTAAAATGTTTTTTTTTATTACACGTGAATTTTGGATTTAATTGGATTGGCAGTTAAAAATCATTTGGAACAGCTACGTGACCAATCCATCTTATACTTTATGTTTCTTAAATATCACAGCATATATGTCTGTAAATTCGTTTCTGTAACTTAAAATCACTTTCACCTTTTTTTTATTGCATGTATCCTATTTTGTTTTTAAGATCTTAATGCGGTTTGAAGCATAAACTGTTTTATTGAACTTTAAGAATTTTAAGTGTTTAAAGCCACACAAAGCAAATAGAAATTTTATAACATTCATTGGACTGCTAATGCATAGACAGTCATAAAATCAACAAATATTTATCTTTCATCAAAATTTTAAAGAGTTTTAAAACTTTCAAGTTCCTAATAAATCAAGCAATTTGGGGATTTCAGACATTTTTTTTTTCGCGAGGTATGAATGTGAGTCAAGTTGACAAACCACTTTTTATTTCATAACTGAATATCAAAAATCACGAGACGCAAACAGAGTTGGATGCTCAACAAATAATTTTAAGGTTGAGATCAAGGAATTAGAATAATTCAAATTACATTTTTATTAAAGTGAAAGCTACAATAAAATATGCGAATGCATTTCTTATGCAAATTTACTTTAAATGCACAGAAAGACTTTATTGTTGATATGAAACAAAGAATTTAAATTTCATTGTGTGATCTTATATTTGTTGAAGAGATTCATACTTTGCTCTTTTTATCTTATTTTAAAAAAGTATTCTTTACTTCAAATTATCTGAATTTATTTAAATGAAATGTTTAAAACGACATTTCAATAAATAAATTGACTGTCTAAGAGTCCGGGTCGTTCACTTATGACTTGTTTTAAGAAATTGGTTTTTTTGATTATTTGTCATTTGCGTTAAATTTTATTTCAATATATATTGGTTTTAAAATGTTTCAAAATTCCAAACAACCATGCTAAAAAATCAGCATCACAAGTGAATGACCTCTTACCGAGAAGATACTTTGCTCTTTTAATAAATTCATGTTGAAACAAAAAGTCTTAGCAATATAAAAATGTCATCAACCTGAGTAAGTAAACCTTAATCTTTAACGGCCTGTTTCACTAAAGTGGATTATCCTCGATTTTGGATTATCCACTTCAGTTTTTTGAAAATATCGCCAGACGCTTAAGGTTATTAAGAGATCTAATGTGTGATCTAGCAAGAGTACTTTGCTCCTTAAATTAACATATACTTAGAATTTTTATATCTTCATTAGTTTGAGAATTATAGCAAAAATCGAAGTTAATCTACTAGATTTGTCTAGAAAATTGAATAATTAATACTTCTTACCAACAAGTAAAAGTTTATAGTATACAGAAATTTCAGACATAGTTCACTCTATTAAAATCCAAAATTAGAAATACCACACCTCCCATAAAGTTTAAGATATTTCCAAAAAACTGAAGTGGATAATCTGAAATCGAGGATAATCCACTTTAGTGAAACAGGCCGTAAGTGTTTAGTCAATAAAATGAAAATTCAAAAGCCGTAACATCACCAAACCCACCTCTGCCTTATTTCTCACGAAAATCAACAAATCTTTACTGCCTTTTGCCATCTGCTCAATAAAAATTTTAAAGCATCCTATAAAAAAATAGCTTGACTATCAAAGAAGGGCCAAAACTGACCTCATATTATCTACAACACACATGTGTTGCGCATGGAAAAAGTTACGTATGGCAGACGCGACTTACTGGCATATTTTTTTGTTGTTTTCATTCCTCCACTTCTTACATTTTCAATCGGAATTTCCGAATACTTTCTTTTTTAGTCCGCACGTAGGCATTAATATGCATCATACTTTAACAGAGAGAAAAAGTCAGCAGCAAGAAGAAGAAGACTTAAAATTTCATTTTCCATCAATTAACACTTTTATTCTCGCTGAGCATTTAGCATGCTTGAATCTAGGTTAAGGTTTTTCTAAAAAGAAGAGTGTTTTTATTTCTATTATTTTTCGCATCAATACAAATTTTTTAATGGTTCGCACATGTTGAGCACAACAATAATATTACGTAATGTAAATCAGCAATTTTCTGTTAACGTGCAAATCGAGACGTCTTCATTTCAAGCACATTACTCATTTGTATGAAAGAAATTGTGTTATTGTTAATTTTGACAGAGTGAGTGTATTAAAGAGAAGAAGACAGATTTACGAAATAATGGATTATAAAGTTATCTTAATGCGATTTGTCTCGGAAGTTGTCGTCGGAAGCTGAGTAAAGCTGTACAAGCGATAATTGAAAATTTGTATGCTCACTCATCTTGAAATTTTATTGAAGAAGTTAAATATTGTAAATTTATCAAAAAATAACTTCTCGTGGAGATTGACAGATTAAGATAATAGGCATCTTCACATGAAGTCTAGTAGTTTTGACATACAACTAATTTGTCTCAAAACAAGATTGATCAAGTTGAATCACGTATTGTTCAAACATTATTGGTGATCATCTTCTTGCCATAAGTATCCATCAACAACTTCTAATACAATTGAATTCCCAATATATGAAATAACATAATTGGAAACTAATCAACGGGAATAAATGCACTGTAATCGCTCAATTATTATGACTTCAGCGTGATTTTTTTAAGTCCATGGTAGTTGATTTTGAGTTCACAGAGTTGTTGGACCATTACTTTGGAAGTTATGAGGTCGAATTTTATAAAAAGTTCAGATTGTGAAGCTTTTCAATTAGCAACTTGTTAAATCTCTAATTCAACTTAGTGACAGTTCCTAAGAGCATGTCAAAGATGATGATTATTCGATTGCTGAATATTTAAAAATTTTAATTATGTCTGCGTCGCCGAAATGGCTACCAATTTTTTCTCTTGAAATATTTTCACCTATGCATGCCATGTATATTACGTCATCTCTCCCCAAATAACACATTAAGTCTCACCATCAACCCTGCATATGTATGCCATTTTTATGCATAAAAAATATCATTATGATCAAACAATATTTTTTTTTCATATTAATAACTTCTATTAAGCCTATTAAGCCTATTTTAATAAAGAGTTAAGAAATAATTTCTTTTGCCATTTTAACTGTGACTATGCTTGTATTATTTGCCTATGTGCATTTGTTGTTGTCATGTTTACGTTCACTAGGTAAGTAAGTAAACGTACTCTCAATATGATGCAATCAACAGGAAGGAAAAAGAAAATTAAACGAAATAGACAAAAGCTTAAATGTGCAATTTATATTGAAATTGGTGTTAATATGATAAATCTTTTTCAAATATTATGTTTTATGCACCACACGATATGTAGGTTATGCAATATTAACATATTTTTAATATGACGACCTTCTTAATCATCGTACCATAACCAGTATCAAAATATTTTATTTTAAGGTGCATCAGTGATACTATCCTAATAGGAAAAGGTTGTTATCTAAATTCCAAACATAAAGCATTCAATCAAACAATGAAATCGCATGTACAATGACGAAAAATCTAAATTATACAACGAAAAAAAAACAAGAAAGAAATTTCATTTTTCAGGCCTCGTCTACGATCATGGACAGATGCCTTTTTAAAGTTCACGTACACACAGCATTTTATATCCATGAGACAAAAATCAAAAGGCCGAACTTGAAAAGAAAATTAGTGAGATCTGTTTTAAAGGCCAGTAAAAAAATTCATGCAAATAGAAGGTGTAATAGAAATTTTCTCCTATACATAAAAAAGTCAGATAAATAAACATAAAGTTGGATATACGTGAGCACTTATGGGTAACAAGTATAACGATTTAATGTGAAATAACTTTAAATTAAATTTCAACATATGAAGAAAGTATTTTTTTATTGTATTTATTTCCGAAGTTACATAAATGTCCGAAAAAACAACGTGTCTGGTATCTGCACCTCGGTCACTAAATGAAATCATTTTTTGAAGATAATATTTTCTTCAGTGTGTTGAATATGTATATACTGGTTGTGAGCTTTCATCCCCACTTGTTGATATTAAACTATATTTCCTCTGTTTCTTGTTTGTCTCCATAGAGTTGCCATCACTGTCGACAATGATTACAACTCTATCCATACTAATCCCGCAAGACTGTCGAGCAAACAAGACGTTCATTGTAAGAACTAAACAGTGGAAACACTAAAAGCACACGTTTTTCTCTTGTATTGCGCTTGTATTTTTCGTCTACCAACAGAAATAAAAACTTATGTAATATTCAAAGCGAACTGTTTGTAGAAAGGGGATAGCAAGCATAAGCTTTGTTTCGTACAATTATTATTTAATTTTTTTTTTCTTTTTCATTTTGAAGCCGAAAAAATATCAAAAAGATTGGCTTTTTTCGCGCAGTTTAATTTGATACTTCGATTTATGCACATCTCGTGTGCAGTTAGTCGTGTAGTAAAATATTATTTTTTAATTTCTTGCAATAGAAAAAAAATAAAATAAATTGACTATGTGAATGTGTTATAATTGAAATCGAAAGTGAAAATAAGGAAGAATTGTGAAATAAATAATAATAAAGTTGACAAGAATAGTTCCTGCTGTGAATTGCATAATATTCAGATTTTAAATATATTTTCTGTGGAATATACGTGATTTTAGATTCCTATTTTGTAAGTACTACTTAAAATGACATTCTTCACATGTGACTTATGTGTAATTTTGTGTATAAATATGTCAATTTGCATTCATTGTGTGATGTTCTTCGAACAAAATAATTTGCAAAACGATTTATTACGTTTAACCATGAAATTGCGATTTTGTTTGCATTTTAAGCTCACTAATCAGACAAAATCGGGCTTTTTTTTGAATCACACTTGAATATTTATTTATTCATGTATTTTTTCTCACAATTATTGCTTATTTTTCAATAAAATAATTGATTAGTGCTCAAAAACCAGCGTCATTGTCACGGCAAGGTCGACGTAAATTTTTCGTAAGCTACGCTAGCTCATCACTTATAAAGAGAAATGTCGATAATTTGGATATAAATAAATACGGAATCGGATGATGTAATTTAATCGCATTTAAGGACATAAACTGTGATTAAAAACCGGATAAAGAAAATAATCGATTACATTTTACATTACCGTAAAAACTGGTAATATTGATGATATCACATGTTAAGTAAATACATTCAAGACAAGTAGTAAAGCTCGTCCCACAAATTGAATATCTTGTATAATCCGATTCATTGTTTATTCACTTTGCATAGTGATATTCATGAAAAATTTCTTAATAGTCTCCCTTAATTGTCATAAAATTCTAGAGTTGACATCCCACAAAATTTAAATAACAAGAAAATCTAGAAAAATTAACATCTGCCGCTTCTTCAAGGCTGCTTTTTTACCAAAAGAATATAACACAATAGTCAAGGTCTTCTGGGAATCACATTCTAACTTTTTCTCGATATTAACGCGTTTCGCGTGTTTTAAACAATGTCAATACACATGTGACTCAATCTTAATTCATTTACATAGCCATGAATGATAATGATGATGATGATGATGATGATGATGACGAGTGGAAGAAATGAACGGATAAATGTAAAAAATAAAAATACATCTCAAAGTAGTTTCCGCAATAAGCAAGGTTATTGATATATACACTCATGTACCTCGCATATTTTCCTCTTTTCTTTAACCATTAAATTATATAAAGGCACTATAAAAAAGTAAATGTACAGCATAAAGCACAGAAGGTAAATAGTTCCAGTTAAATAATGACGCTTGATACGATCTGTGCTTAAGACAAGAAGAACATTACTATTTATTTATGATTCACAGTAAGGATAAGCATTCATCATCACTAAAGTACTTATTTGTACAATTTCTTAAGTTTTAAGTATTTTGTTTAATCCACGATTAAGACATTAAATCATTTGCGAGATGCAATGTCAGACAATGAAGTGTAATTAAATGCTGACAATAAGACAATTTTCTCATTAAAGTTGTACAATTACAAATCACACGAAATTTGTTGTTTTAAAAGGTGAAAATTAGAAATTTTACGCTACAAAAAAAGATCAACTCGATTGATTAATTTTCTATTATTACAATAATTGATACAATTTGGTTATGTTAATATTGCCATATTCATTGATGGTCTTTAAATTTTACCGGCATTTTATGGAAATGACTTTGAATCGTGCCGTACTTTTGTTTCAAAATATCATTTTCATTTTGGTACATTAAGTTTAATTGAAATATGAAGAGATTTTGTTTTGTCTTCCGGGTGTACGTGAGAGTTAAAATACTTTTGGACATTACTTATCTGTGCTTTTATGTGGGAATTGTCGTTAAGTAGATTTTTGACCTGAAAGCATTTTTGCAATTATTTTCTAATCTGGTATTTCGCGAATTTCGTACATTACTTTTAATAGCTTACTCAAGAAAGCTTAATTCGTTTAAAAAATAGTTTAATTGCGGAACTACGAGCAAGTTAAAATTTGACATTTGAATTCATAGACGAGTGCGTCATGATTTGTAGCTTTGAAATAACTTGGAAATAACCTTGTTATAAATGCAAATATTTACAGATTGATCTAAAATTTAAACTGCAAAATAAATTAGTTTTCAAGGATTTTTCACTTAAGTGAATCCCCAATTTAAAAAATGTAAATCATTCACTTTAAAATTATTGAAAATTGATCTAATTGATTGGTCCTTCTTCGACTAATAACAATTCAAAATATCGAAATTAAAACAGCACGTCTTAATTCGAAAAGTCCAATGAACTAATGATTTGAATAAAAGATATTCAAGACCTTGCAAAACTATGTTCAGCCGTTAAAATTAATGAATTATCTTGAGGAAATACCAGTAAATCTGTTGCTGATTCATATCAAGGTTTATTAATTCTTTAAATTAATTTTTAATTCGATTCTTTTAGGGCTGCTGACGTGCAACAAAAAACAAACTTGGCTGAGTTAGCATAAAATGATAAATGTTGCTATTTTAAAGCAAAAGCATTTGTTAGACATTCGGTAAATACAAGAATTAGAATCAGTAGTAAAAGATATTTCAACAAAGATGGTGGTGCCCGGTTTGGGAGCAACTTCAGTATTAACTTCACTTGGTCTTTTTGGATCAGGAATATGGATGATTCCATTACTTTTAAGCACATATTATCGATATGATCGTGTAGATCCGGAATCAAAGCCGATAGATCAGCAAAATTTACTACCCGAATATGATTTTATAATCATTGGAGGTATGAATAATAATATTTAAACACCCAATAAGTTTCAATTTGATGATTATTCGATTAAAATTCAACAGGTGGTTCAGCGGGAGCTGTTGTAGCTAATAGATTAACGGAGAATCCAAAACATAGTGTTTTATTAATAGAAGCAGGACCTGATGAAAATGAAGTCACCGATGTTCCTTCCTTTTCAGCATATTTACAATTAAGTAACTTTGATTATGCTTATAAAACTACTCCACAAAGTCGCGCATGTCTAGGTATGGTTAATAACCGTTGCAATTGGCCGAGAGGAAAAGTCCTTGGTGGTAGTAGTGTATTGAACTATATGGTTTATGTGAGAGGAAATAAGAACGATTTTGATCATTGGGGAAATTTGGGAAATCCTGGCTGGGATTATAAAAGCGTTTTACCATATTTCCTCAAATCTGAAGATAATCGTAATCCATATCTTGCACGTTCACCATATCATGCAACTGGTGGATATTTGACAGTACAAGAAGCTCCTTGGCATACACCTTTAGTTGCAGCTTTCGTCGAAGCCGGTACTGAACTTGGATACGAAAACCGTGACATTAATTCTGATAAGCAATCAGGTTATATGATTGCACAAGGAACAATTCGTCGAGGAAGTAGATGCTCAACAGGAAAAGCATTTGTTCGTCCAATTCGTTTACGACCCAATTTTCATCTAGCATTAAATGCATTTGTTACGAAAATCGAGATAGATCCAACAACAAAACGAGCTTGGGGCGTTGAATTTGTTCGTCACAATCGAAAACAAGTTATTAGAGCAAGACGTGAAGTAATTTTGTCAGCCGGCGCATTAAACAGCCCACAGATTTTGATGTTATCGGGTATTGGCCCGCGCGATCATTTACAAGCAATGGGAATTCCAATTATTAAGGATCTACCAGTAGGAAATAACTTAATGGATCACCTTGGTTTTGGTGGATTAACCTTTATTGTTGATAAACCAGTAGCTATTCTTCAGAACAAACTACCAGCTGCAGCAGCAACAACGGCTTATGTTCTTAACGAAAGTGGTAATGTATATTGACTAAATTATCTCAATTATTTTAGAAACTAATATGATACCGTTCCATTTTACGCTTCGTTATCCACGATACAATGTTTATAAATAATATAAAGGGTATGTATAACCTTATATAGTGTCATTATGTACATTTTTATCATTACTAACATACATTTTTTTCATATTTCTTCTTTACGTGATGCCTTTCACGCAACTTGATGTCGTTGCCACCAAACTTGTTAAATTTTATGTAATACGCGATCGTATATCTTATTCACTTATATGGCAAACGCTGATGATGATGACTATAGGCCGATGACTGTATTGGTATGGAAGAAATTATTGACACATGTGGAATACGATTTCTAAATAAATATTGAACCTTTCTTTTGTAGGGCGGATTGGAAGGAATTGCATTTGTCAATACAATTTATGCAAATCAAACATTGGATTGGCCGGATATACAATTTCATATGGCACCGGCTTCTATTAATTCAGATGGCGGAGCACAAGTATGGAAGATATTAGGACTTAAACCAGAAGTGTACAAAGAGATGTGGGCACCACTTCATGATACATATACATGGACGATCATGCCACTGCTTTTGAGACCGAAATCTCGTGGATGGGTTAGACTGCAATCAAAAAATCCGTTTGTACCTCCACTTATGAATCCAAATTACTTTGATGATCCTTTGGATATGTTAACAATGATTGATGGTGCAAAAATTGCGCTCAGAACGGCTGCAGCAAAGGTTTTTAAGCAATTCGGAACTCGATTGTATCAGAAGCCTTTACCACCATGTAAACATTTACCGTTCTTATCAGACGAGTATTTAGAGTGCGGTATAAGAACAGTATCTATGACAGTAAGTCATCTATTAGCTAATTAATTTGATAAATTTTTTAACAAAACTTTTTATTCGCGTAGATTTATCATCAATCTGGAACCGCAAAAATGGGTCCACCATCTGATCCCGAAGCCGTAGTTGATCCTCGTTTAAGAGTTTACGGAATTAAGGGGCTTCGTGTTATTGATGCAAGTATAATGCCGCAAGTAGTAAGTGGCAATACAAATGCAGCCGTTATTATGATTGGTAAGACACTTCCTCATTACAGTAAATTATAAATTATATGCAATTTTTTCATTCTACAGGTGAGAAAGGAGCAGACTTAGTCAAAGAAGACTGGCGATAATCGAACTGATGCATAATTTATTTATAAAAAAACTCCATCAATGACTTAATCAAATTTAATTATTTTTTGCATGAATGAATGTTGAGCATGGTTGTGCCATTAAAATGGTGTGCATCTCCCTCGTTATTTAATTATATAATTCTTTTGACATAAGTTTGTATTATCATTTTGTATTTGTTGCATGCTTTTACTCAAAAAAAAAAAACAACGAAATCTTGTCATTTCTCATTAGGTTATCGATATATTAAATTGTATGTATATTATTATTATATGCTAGCGCGTAGTCATTTCATTATTAAGTTGAAAAAATATTTTTTTCATTGCTAGTGATGAATAAATTACTAAAATTAAATTTTCTTGAAGTTTTTATTTTTTGTTTTCAAATTAAATTGACTAAACATTCAGATTAAGTTTTAATACTGTCAATTAAATTGCTGGTTTTGCACTAGGGGTTCCAGAATTCCCGTTCCCGTAAGATTTCGGGAATCGAGAACGGGAACGGGAATATTCCCGGGAATCACAAAAAAAAAAAGTTAAAAGCTACACTTACACCATGTATTTTATTTAGTTTTTTAAATCAAATTTAAATTCTATTTGATTTGATTGTCAAATTGATTCTTTTGACAATAATTTCCGTTTGAAATTCAATTCTTTTTGGTTTTAGAACAATTCTTAAAGTACGATTTTAACTGGTCTAACAATCTACTGCGATTTTTTGAGACAATATTATTGGAGATTGAAAAGTTACGTTCAGCTCTTGTAGATGTTGGTGGATTCCAGAAATATTAATTTCAAGCACGTTTTTTTATTTTGGAAAAATTACCTAAATCCAATCCCTAGCGAGACTAACTAGCAAATTGCTAGTCTTTCTATTCTAGAACTTGCAATTTACTAGTTATTATTAAAACAACTTACTGTTAATAAATTACACTTGCTATTTACTAGCAAATTACCATGTAAAATGTTTGATCAAATCTGCTTAAGTTCGATTGACCATCGTCAAGACAATAAGACATCGTCAAGACAATAAGACATCGTCAAGACAATTCTTCTGTAGTTTGTCAGTTAAAAAAGTCTATATAAATCCAATTTGTATCAAATATTCATACTATGTGATTACTTGTGTGTGAACGATGAGTAATTGTTCAAATGTGAAGAAAATAACACAACATATGAAATGTTTTATGATGGCTATAAGTGCTGCTCCTTAAAGAACCTAAAATATATGGAAATTTTAAAAACGAATTAGTAAAATCAAAATAAATTTAATTCTTAATTAAGATTTGCTGTTTAAATTAAAGTTTCATGATATCAAATTCACTTTCTCTGATGGAAATTAGTCAGAAAAACTTTCAAAAAGGCTCACATAAAGCCTACGTTACGTAAAATCATTAAGTAAAATCACACAACATTAAGTTCTACGTTGCGTTTGCTCTTTCTCGATGTAAATTAAAGATGGAAGTCGATGGACAGGTAAGAGAGAAGCTGATGCAAGATAAAGGAGAGATTAAACTGAGAAAGTAAATTTTTTGATGGTTCTTCTTTTTATAGTTAATCATATCAAGTTTAATTTCAACCAAGGAAATGAATCAATCGTGTTTTCATTCCATTACTGCTCACATTTCAGGCTTTGAATCAGAACAGTCCGAGATAGAGGCAAAAACGTTCTTTACCACACACCTGAGCATGAAAAAGAACCACAATTTAGGGTTAGAGTTAGACGCTTGTAATTAAGCTTCTATTGATTACAACTCAAATCATCAGAGGCTCATTTTTCACATTAAACTACACGATACGTCATTGGACCTGATGTAAGTCTAATGCTGTGTGTGAGAACAGGCATCTAGACAAAAAATTGCAAGTCTCTTTTACGAGCAAGCAATCAATGTCCTTGATGCCACTCTACATCAAGGATGAACCAATCAAAAGCCACGATAGTAAGTCTCACAGGCAGAAACACATGACTCATAGGCTCGATTTACAAAAAAAAAAAAAAGAACAGAAAAACTTTTTAAAAAAGGGTCAAAAGACTTTGCTCCCTCAAGTTTTACCCCTCCTCATCTTGCATCGACCCCCCTCTGACCTATTCAACGACTCCCACTCTTAATTTACATCAACAAAGGCTGACGAAATGTAAAACTCAATGCAATGCGTTTTTAAGTAATCATTTCACGTATTGCAAGCATTACGTACGCAATTGCAGAAAGTCAAATGGCTGGTTTCATTAAAGAAAAGGAATTTGAAAATCTGAATGTGTTTCAGATGACGTAGATCAATTAAAGAAAAGTCGCCCTTGAATGTCCTATTTATCAGTATACTTAGCTTTTTCTTCGTTGTCACTAGCCTCTTGCTTCTTTAATTGTGTCCTGGTTCCTTCAAGCTTCACCAATCTCATTTTCACTTCAATTTTACAGCTTCTTGAATTTAATTTTCTTAACTTCCAATGTTCACTCAGAAAATTTTTCATTTTTTTCTTCACTTTTAATTTTTTCATCACTTTTGGCTTATTTTCACTGTTGCTTCCATTTTAGCACTTCACTATCACTTTTATCTTGAACTCCACTTCTTTTTAAGCATTAATAATGTCAAGTTCCAATTTATTTGCACCGATTTGCAACAATATTTAAAAACACGTCTTTAAAGAATTAAACTGAAGAAAATTGTGAGAAAATTGAAAGTCAAAGGTTGCTGAGAAATTTGACCTTTTTTGACTGATTGTGATTTCACATTTTTGCGTTAATTAAGGGTGTATTCAGCTCGAAAATTATCAAAAATATATAGTATTAATTCAAAATTTTAAAAGCTTTTTATTTAGCTTTTTAAATTAAATTTAAATTCTATTTGATTTGATTGTCAAATTGATTCTTTTGACAATAATTTCCGTTTGAAATTCAATTCTTTTTGGTTTTAGAACAATTTTTAAAGTACGATTTTAACTGGTCTAGCAATCTAGTGCGATTTTTTGAGACAATATTATTAGAGATTGAAAAGTTACGTTCAGCTCTTGTAGATGTTGGTGGATTCCAGAAATATTAATTTCCAGCACGTTTTTTTATTTTGGAAAAATTACTTTAATCCAATGTCAATTAAGTTTATTATTTTATGGACATCATACATTTAAAAAATATTATTAAATACTTTTTCTCTTCGTTTTTCATAAATATATGTTTTTGATTTAAAAAACATCAAATTTGAGTTTAATATTTCAACTCTTAAATTCCTTAACGTATGTTTTCATTATTATAATTTTTTTCTTTAAATTGTAGTTTTTTTCATGGAAAATACAAAATAAAAAAAAAACCAATTTGAATTGTCGGTTTTTTTTGGTATGAAAACGGGAATTTCGGGAATATTCCCGATTTTAGAACCCCTATTTTGCACATTTTCCATTGAATATGTAATAGTCTGTAGTTATTGCCGAATTATTCATTCATGCACGTTTGGATACCTGAAGTTTTTAGATTGACAAATTTTTTAAAGATTTATTGATCAAATATGAAAATTAAACTACAAAATCACTTCCTGCAACATGCTCCTGTTCTCTATGTCATTTTTTAACTATCAGTAATTTTCATTACATCACAGCGGGATGTAAAAGGACAAAAATCTAATAATTCAAGCTGAATTTCACAATTTTGACACAAAACAATTTATTTTCCAGTCTCAAAATCAAAACGAATCAAGCATTTAAATGCAACGTGTCAATGCCTTGATCAAGGAAGATATTTTTGAAATGCACACTGAAACGATATAAAGCGAATAAAAGCTGGTAAATTTTCAATAATTATTATAAACCTTTAGAATGAGTCCATCAAGAATATTTTATTGAAAAAATATAACTTTCATTATAGTAAGAACCTCATAAAAATTTCTAGTTATAACTATTTAGTATCCCGTATCATATTCCTTCTTGACAAAGAACAACTTAGTAGAAGCTGTTTTGCGATATATTACACAGATATGCTTCTTCATCAACACTTTCGCTGTATTGAGCCTTGAGTGGGTATGTAATTTCCATATTAATGAAGTCAAAATATTGCTAGATTTTATTATATATATATAAATTACAACTGATAATATTCTTGTAACCTACAAGAAGGACTTTATGAATAAAATTATCCGACCATGAACTTGATTCTTTATTGAATCATCCACTACGATGTGTTGTAAATTAATTTAAACAGTTTTTACGCTTTTCAATTTCATCAAAGCAAATCAGGAGTAAAAGAATGGAATGAACTCATTTAATAAGTTTGTAATTTCATTATTTACAATTATTTCCTTCTTGTAAATCACTTAAGTGAAATGATTCATGCTAAGCTGTTTCATGCTTATAATAGGTGAGAGGCATTTACTCTTCCTCAACAAATTATTAAACATTTTTTTTTACAACATATTATTTTTCATGTTATCTTTAACTTGTTGAAGCACCACTGTTTTGTTTTTCTGTATTTATCAAGGAATTACATACAACTTTACAGCAGTATTCAATGCACGTATGCATCTATGAATGATATATATTTGTGCACGATGCATTCTCTCTAGAACTGCATATTTCCCATCAGTTTGCATCTAGATTTTCAACTGATCAGTTCTAAAATAGGAAAACAAATAGTTCTAGTGAAATTCTTAAAAGAAGTTATAAAAATATGAAGTTAGAACTGCTGTTGGCTACTCTAATAATTCAAATAAATTTAATAAGTGCTGTGAATGTTTTTGATTTAACTTCAAGATTTTTGTCACTCGGAAATTACCGATACAATTATGAGTCGCGAAATCGTGAAATTCTGAACAATAAATATGATTTTATAGTAGTTGGAGCTGGAAGTGCTGGATGTGCTTTAGCAGCAAGACTTTCCGAAAATCCAGCATGGAATGTTCTTCTCATTGAAGCTGGTGCCAATGAAAATTTACTCATGGATGTTCCCATGGCAGTGCATTTTTTGCAAGGGTATGACATAAATTGGGGTTATAAAACTGAACCGTCGAAAACATCATGCTTAGCTATGAATAATAATCAGTGTAATTGGCCTCGTGGAAAAGTGATGGGCGGATCATCTGTCTTAAATTACATGGTAAATAATGAAAAACTTCGGAATAAATTAAAAATTATATTTATGAAATTTGTCATTAATTAAGGTGTATACTCGTGGACATCCAAAAGACTTTGACAATTGGTCATCATTGGGAAATGAAGGTTGGGATTTTCAAAATGTTTCTCATTATTTTCGTAAGTTAGAAAATAATATTGTGCCAAATATCACACCAAATTATCATGGAAGAAACGGCCCTAATACTGTGTCAAGCATAAATTTCAAATCGCAAGCAGCAAGAGCATTTGTGGCTGCAGGAATAGAGAGTGGTTATCCTTATGTTGACTATAACGGGCCAAGTCAGGTGGGATATTCATTCTTACAAGCATCTATTGAGAATGGATTGCGTAAAAGTACAAATGCAGCATATCTTCATCCAATCAAGTATCGGAGGAACTTACACGTAAGAAAGAATAGCATTGTAACAAAACTATTGATGGATGATAACAATAACGTTTATGGAGTTGAGTTTTACACAAATAAAAAGTATTATACAGTAAATGCCACAAAAGAAGTTCTTCTATCGGCTGGTGCGCTTAATTCGCCACAAATTATGATGGTAAACTTAAACTTTAAATTCAATTTGTTGATATTAAAATTATGATATTTTTCTTTGTACAGCTTTCTGGCATCGGGCCATCAAAACATTTAAAGTCTGTCGGAATAACACCTAAAGTGAATTTAGCTGTTGGATATAATTTAATTGATCATACAGCGCCGGGTGCATTGACGTATGTTGTGAATTCAACAGCTTTAAATGTCCAAAATATTTTAGACTTAAATATACTTGATGAATATTTAAATGAACTTGATGGACCTATGTCATCAGCAGGCGGTGTAGAAAGCATCGCGTTTTTAGAGACTGAAAAATCATACGATAAAGATGGATATCCAGATTTAGAATTTTTACAGTTAGGCGGTTCTGTTTCTGCGGATCCAGTTTTTAAGCGTAATTTTGGAATTCGGGATGATGTTTACAACGAGATGTTTGCAAGCCTAGAGAATAGTGAATCATCTACTTTTATGGTTTTCCCAATGGTAATGAGACCGAAGAGCAGAGGACGTATAAAGTTACGATCAAGCAATCCTTTTGACGCTCCAGTTATTATGCCGAACTATTTCAGTGATCAATATGATGTTGATATTTCAGTTCGAGGAATTCGAAAATTAATTGACCTTTCCAAGACAAATGCACTTCGTAAAATAGATGCAAAATTCTTATCAACACCAGTGCCTGGATGTAAGCATTTAACTTATGATACAGACGAATATTGGGAATGCTATACGCGGCACTTTACATTTACAATTTATCATCATTGCGGAACAGCGAAAATGGGCCCTCGAAGTGATAGAAAAGCAGTTGTAGATTCTAAACTCAAAGTCTATGGAGTTAAAGGGCTTCGAGTTGTTGATGCGAGTATAATGCCTGATATTGTTACAGGTCATACAAATGCACCCGTAATTATGATAGCAGAAAAAGCTGCTGATCTCATTAAGAATGATTGGAATTACATTTAGAGCTTTTTTAACATCTAATTTCTGATAATTTCCTGTCAATATTCATTTAAGTAGATTTTAATAAATTCGGAGTATTTAAGAAATGTTTTAAAGAAATTATTTTGCGTGATTCATTGTGTAAGTATACACGTTTTTAAGATAATCAATAGTGTTCGCACTTCTGCATTATTTAAAAATGTTAATTGCTTCATAAGCTTTACTATTAATGAACTAGCTGTACAATGTGAATATGTTAAGGTGGGAATTTTGTTCTTATGAAATGGATAGTGCAATTACTGTTGTAACTGGTAATAATTGTGTATTATCTTGCTGTTATCATTGTAAGGAAGCGATGCATAGTTGCTCGTCACGAGATTTGGAACAAAAGACGAGAACTGAAAGATCTTTTTGAATTTACCTTTATATTTTTTCAGTAAATTTCCGAAAACTTTACAGCAAGCTCAGAACTAAATTAATTACATACAAATTTTGATGCACCTACGTCACTACTTATTTACCAGTTACTTCCTCTCATCACATGTCTATAATCAATTATAATAACTTAGAAAACAGATTTTTAATTATTCGTTTAGTTTCAATTCCTTTGAAAATTACTATTTTGTACAAAATTTTAAGAACTAGCAGCAATAATAAATCCTAATTCACATTGAATTGGCTTTAAATTGACAATGTGCTTTTTAATTTGTTTTTCAGTGCACAATTCTGATCATTTAGTATTCACCTCATTCACACGATTTATGCAATTGAATAAAATTTTTTTATAGCTCAAAAATACAAAACTTCCCCAAACAATATTGAAATCATCATACCAAACTCATCCTTTACGCAACGGAACTGTTCTCAAACAATAAAATGTAAAAAACTTGTTTGTCACTTGAGGAGAATTTCAGAGAGTAAATTCATTCTTTGGTCTCATGCTCACACCACCAACGTGGAGAAATTGTAACTAAATGTGTTTGTCTTAGCACGATAAGGAAATTTCAGCGAAAACATTCCATTTTACACACAAAATTTCACCAAAAATAAATACATTAATATATTTTTCTTTTACTTGACAGGTTCTGAACCTGTTTGAAGAAGTAAGTTGGAGAATATTTGGGGAGTCCGAGAGGCTATACTTATACTGTCGTTTTGAAATTTACCAGACAGTCTTTAAGAAGTTCTTCTATAGTTTAGATCGATATTGTCAATGCATTGCTTGATATGAAGCTATTATTATTAGTGATTTGTTTATTAATTGAAATCAATTATTCTTTAAGTGTGCTGGAATCTTTTGTAAAGCGAGCCAAGCAAAGTGAATTTTTTGCTAAATTAATTAATCAAAAGCACACAGCCATTGTTGAAAGTAAGAAAATTTTTAGAAAAAATCTAACGGTGCTCTTATCAGTGATTTTTTATTAAGATCTTCTGGTCAATGAACTATAAACAGAATTAAAAAGTGGCGAATATTTAAAGAAATCCAAAATTCCCCAAAATTATGATAATTTTTATTAAGCTAGGGCTGCTTACGAATAGTATGTGTATAAACATAAGAAAGCTATTTTTAGATCATTCACATTTACACCAGAGATATTCAAACTGTTTTTTATTCGATGTGCATTATTGAGGCTTATGAATGAAGTAATACATATGTGAATTTTTGTAGCTGCTAAAAAAATTACAGCGAAACAAATAGTCGTGTTTTTCAAAAACATTATCAGCTTCAAAGTTGCTACTTTTAATCAAAAATAATTGAAAAAGTCACAAAGTTCGTGAAAGTGAATAGGTTTCTATTTTGATAAATACTAGTGGAATTTAATTAACGTCTTGAAAAAGCATGACAATTTAGCAAAAATATTTTTTTTTTCTGAGTCTGTGCGAATAATCTGTGAATTTTGAGATGATTAGCCATTTAAAATTTATTGGAAGTCAAGCAATAAACATAATAAAAATTCTTAATATTAATCAAATTCCTGCTTACACGCATAACTGTGAATTTTACCATACATTTAATAATTACACATACAATCCGAACCTGATTACAATATTCTTGTAGACTTCTAATCACACGAGCATTTAACATGCAATATAATATGAAAATTCTCGCATTACATCCAATCTTGTTCTCAATAATTTATGATAATTTCCCTATCATTCTCTAGAACAGCGATACTTCGATCACTATGATTTCATAATAGTCGGTTCTGGTCCGGGTAAGTAAACAATCAATTACAATGCATTTCTTATTGATGATCAATTTATTGGATTTTAATCGACATAGGTGGTTGCGTACTTGCTAATCGCTTGACAGAGAACAAGAAATGGAATGTATTATTAATAGAAGCGGGAAAAGTCGAGACAGCACTGCAAGATGTTCCAGTTCTAGCTGCATATATGCAGTCAACAGCATTTAATTGGGGTTTCGTTTCTGAGCCTCAGGCCGGCTCTTGTTTCGGTAAATTGAAAAAAATTAATCGTTTAATTAATCAATTATGTGATCGCTTCTGTTCAATTTGTAAAAAATAAATTATATTAGGTATGGATGAAAATAGATGTGGATTTCCAAGAGGAAAGGCTCTAGGTGGAACAAGTGTTATAAATTACATGATTTATAATCGTGGAAATAAGTATATGCAGACAGATATAAACTTAATTGTTAATTGCAATTAATTCTCATTTGCATTGTGACAGAAATGACTTTGATCGATGGGCAGCTGCCGGAAATTATGGATGGTCATGGAATGAAGTTCTTCCGTATTTCCTTAAATCAGAACGATCAACATTGGAAGGATTTGAAAATTCCCCATATCATAACAGACATGGAGAAATGAGTGTTGAATATAACAGACATCGGACGCTGTATTCTAAACTATTCGTAAAAGCCAGCAATCACTTAGGATTACGAGAAGTTGATTATAATTCCGGTCAACAACTTGGTGTATCATTTTTGCAAGCAAACACTTTGAATGGCCGCAGACATTCAGCATTCAAAGCATTTATCGAGCCAATTTTAAACCGTCCTAACCTTCACGTTATGATAAATACTCGTGCAACAAAAGTCCTTATCGATCCGTCAACAAAAATTGCGTATGGTGTTGAATTGTTAAGAAATCGTAAGCGATACCGTATTTTAGCTAGAAAGGAAGTGATATTATCAGCTGGGACTTTTATGTCACCACAAATTTTGATGGTAATTTTTGAAAAGTTAAGTCAATTTCGGGAGAATAATTGTAAGTATTTATAGTTATCAGGAATTGGAATGAAAAGTGATCTGAATAGAATAGGAGTTCCAGTCATTCAAGAGCTACCTGTTGGTAAAATAATGTATGATCATACAACTCACATAGGAGTTGTTTTTGTTGCTAATACGACAGGAGAATCCCTTAACTCAGACAGAGCTATTCAGCCTAATAATGTCGTTAAATTTCTTCATGGTCAAGGAATTCTGACTGTTCCCGGTGGTATGAATAGTTATTTTCACAAAAGGCAATACCAATTTTCTTAATTCTCGTCTAATTATACAGGTGTTGAGGCATTGGGCTTTATAAAAACAAATATTAACAATTTTCGAGGTGAAACTGTTCCGGATGTTGAATTAATATTTTTGGCGGGTGGATATTTTTCAGATGAAGGAACTGGCGTTAGGAGAGGAATTAGAATTACTGATAAAATTTATAATAGTGTATATAAAAGACTCGAAGATAGATCTATAGATGCATTTACTGTTGCCCAAATGCTATTCCATCCAAAATCTGTTGGATACTTAGAACTTAAAAGTTCTAATCCCTTCCATTGGCCAAAATTTTATCATAATTTCTTCAAGAACGCCGACGATGTTGAGACAATGTTAGAAGGCATTAAAGCTACTCTAAAATTAGTAAATACGCCTCAATTCAAAAGCATAGGAGCTCGTGTCTATTCTGTTCCACTACCAAATTGCGCTCATATACATTTTGGAACAGACGACTACTGGAGGTGCTCAATTCGCACACTATCGTCTTGATTACATCATCAAACATCGACGTGCAAAATGGGCCCAATTACTGATCACACAGCAGTCGTGTCACCCGAATTAAAAGTACACGGTTTTAAAAATTTAAGAGTCGTTGATACAAGCATTATTCCAGAAGCTCCAACTGCCCATACTAATGCCATGTCTGTTATGATAGGTGAGAAATGTGCAGACATGATAAAAAGGCAATGGTCATAAAATTTTTATTCAATAATTATTTTATATTTTGCTTGATAAATGAATAAATTGAATGACTGAATGAATTTTTATAAAAGCACTTTTGTTTTCATTGTAAAAAGAGATGTAATATTATACGTGTGGAAAGAGATGGATGAATTCAAAAGATCTGCATTAATTAGTGTTAATAGATTTGTTATGCGTAGAGAATGATGAAACTGTTTTTCTTCAGCAATACGTTCTTATGATGTATGTAAATTTACATTTTTTTTGCTATTTTTGTGCCAAGATCAGTTGATTCATTTCAAACTAATTTCCATATCCATAATATTCCATATAAAGGTTTAAATTTAATGGCGATCATAGGCCAGCTCAAAATAAAGCTAATTTGTCCAAATCTTAAGAGCTGCGATGATGATCATCATGAAAAATCTTATCTTTCGTGAGATTGTCAACTTTGGACGAAACATTTAATAGCTTGTATGAAATTGTTGTGTGCCAAAAAGTCTCCATTTAGACAAATCATAACAAAAATCCAAATTAAGGAGTCATATGTGTGTGATGTGATTTTGGTCTTAAGCAATAGAGAAGTCATGGAAGGGAGTTTGGTTAAGATTCGGTAAATACTCAAGAACAAACAATTTAACGAAAATCAGATAAAAATAAATCAAGAGTTGTCTTTAGTTATCATTTGGAGAAACTACGATGACACAGTAGTAACCTCGCTGATTTTCCTTTTATGTTCGCATACATAAACTTCATTTCAATCTGTTTTTGTAAATATGTATTTTAAATATTTCTTAAAAACAAGAAAATTAATAAAATTATTGCAGTAATAATCAAGTCGTAGATAGTCACTGAATTCATATCTGCCTGCGCGCGAAAAAATAAAAAACCTCATATGTGGATCGATTTGTTTTTATTTTTTTCTAGACGTTCGGCGGCTGGTAAGGCGGTGTTTTCAAGTTATAGTAATATTTATGGTGCAATAGATTTTGTTTATAAATTTTACGTTACACCAGCGCGTGTGAAGTAGTCGCAACGACGATTGAAAGAGAAAAAAAAATAATCCATTGTACGCGAAAAGAAGGAAAATTCAGTTTCAGTTTCATTTGAGACCTCAGCTGATTCGCACCTAAGTTTGTTTATTTACAAAGTGATTGCCAGTTCGGCATGCAGTTTAACACAAATTTAATTTTTTTGCTATTAATTGGTGTTAATCCTTGGCATGGATACTGTTCATTAGATATTGATAGCAAGAATGTTACTAAGCGCCAAGCCAACAGTCAAGAAAACTTTATATTTGGCTTGCAAAAAAGTCATGTGGAAGGTAATTAATGCATTCAAACTCGATATTAGCCTAGATTAATTTCAATGCATTTTGATCAGCTTTTCTTTATAAAAAATTAACAAGTTATTTTCTTCAAAAAATTAACTTTTCTTTACACAATAATTCCGTACCTAGTGTAATGTAATTAAATGAAGTAGCTTTTATTATATTATTAAATTGCATAATATTTGTTTGTTACGAATAATTACAGAATCTCGTTACTTCGAGCAATATGATTTTATCATCGCTGGATCAGGGCCAGGTGAGGTCGAATGAATCTACTTCCGTCTCTTTCTTTCTTATCATCATCATCAAAATTTTTTAATTCATGTCTATTTGTTTTATTACTATAAGCGCCAGACTAATTTCTCATATCTTTCTTTCATAATTACTTGTGGTCACCTTTAAAAATGAACATTATTGTATTTATGTTATCTAGGTGGTTGCGCATTGGCTAATCGTCTCACAGAAAATCTAAAGTGGAACGTATTATTAATTGAAGCAGGCGACGTTGAGACAACGCTTCAGAGTATACCGGTTGCAGCACCATATCTGGTATTATCAAAATATAATTGGGGATATAAAGCTGAGCAGCAAAGTCAAGCGTGTTTAGGTTAGTGCTAGTGTTGAGTTTTAAAAGTTTGAAGCTTAAAAATTTAATATTTGGCGGGAAAATCTTAAAATTGAGTTATATATTAGAGTTAAATTTATATTAAGCAACAGAATCGAATACAAACTTAAATATTTTTTATTATTTCTCAGGACGAGAAGGTCAACGATGTGCAGTACCACGTGGAAAAGCTCTTGGCGGTTCAAGTGTTATTTTCTTCTTAATGCACACACGAGGAAATCCTCGAGACTTTGATCGATGGGCTGAAGCCGGAAATTATGGATGGACATGGAATGAAGTTCTTCCGTACTTTATCAAATCAGAACGTGCAAATATTGGAAAATATTCAGACTCTCCTTTTCATAATAAAAATGGTCTTTGGGGTGTTTCACACAATTCGGAAAGAACGCCATTAGTAAAAGCTTTCGTAAAGGCAAATAAGTTATTAGGATTGTCAGAAATTGATTATAATAGTGATCGCAATTTAGGTGTAGCTTATGTTCAAGCCAATACATTGAATGGACGACGACACTCAGCATATAAAGCTTTTTTGGAGCCAGTTCTGAACCGGCCTAATTTACATATCATGGTCAATACGCGTGTAACAAAAATATTGATTAATCCTCAGACAAAAACAGCGTACGGTGTTGAAATAAGAAGAAATAATAAAAATTATCGCATCACAACTAAAAAGGAGGTCATTTTATCATCAGGAACATTTCACACACCCCAACTATTAACATTGAGTGGAATCGGAAAGAAACATAATTTAAATAAAATTGGCATTCCAGTTTTACAAGATCTTCCAGTGGGCGATAATATGCATGATCATTATGCATTCGCTGAGTTAATGTTTGTGACAAACAAAACAACAAACTATGGATTCATGACCTATCTCAATAACTTTTTTCAATTTTTTAATGGTCGTGGATTATTAACTCTGCCAAGTGGAACAGAAGCTTTTAGTTTTATTAAAGTGCCTACAAATAATAGCTTTGGAAAAACAGTGCCAGATATTGAATTAATTTTTTCGCCGGGTGGGGTTCATTTCGATCGTGGATTTGGAATAACTAATGGCGGTAGAATGAGACGTGATTTATATGATGCTGTTTACAAACCAATGGAGGACACAAATAAGGATGTATTTTTAATTTCACTTATGTTATTCCATCCAAGATCAATCGGACGTATTGAAATACCCAGTGCGAATCCATTTGCAGATCCAAAAGTTTATGAAAATATGTTTATTAATGAAGAAGATATTGAGAGTCTATTATATGGCATAAAATATGTTTTGAAACTAATCAAACAAGAGCCATTTCGCAGCATTGGAACTCGTCTTCATTCAATTCCACTACCAATCTGCTCTCACATTCATTTCGCAACAGACAACTATTGGCGTTGCGTTATTCGAGCTATGGCATTTTCTATTCAACATCAAGTCGGCACATCGAAAATGGGCCCCAAATCAGATCCAACAGCTGTCGTTGACCCAGAACTTAAAGTTCACGGAATTAATAATTTAAGAATTGTTGATACGTCGATTGTTCCCGAAGCACCCACCGCCCATACCAATGCTATTTCTGTCATGATAGGTAATTATTTAATGTGTTTTGTTATTTCCTCTTGACAATTAATAATTCATTCTATTTTGCAGGCGAGAAGGCAGCTGACTTAATAAAACATGATTGGTATCGACAGTAAAAATGGAAATGATTGTTATGAGTTGTGTATAGCTTATTGTTTTTAGGGTGTTTGCCAATTCGATTGAGTTTTAACCCGGACAGTCCAAATTTTTTAAATTAAGTGATGAATTGAAGTCTATATGCAAAACTGAAGCAGATTACTGCTTTAATAATAGCCATTTGTCACCCAATTTATACAGTTTAATTAAGTTTTTACATTATTTTATAATCAGGTGACCTAAGAAGTGCGATTCAATAACTGTCTTGAACATTGACTGTCTTGACAAAATCCCCGATATATTAGCTACCCTAATGATTGCTCAAATGTTGATTAAATGGAAATCTTTGTGATATTTTTATTATGTTTAGAATTAAATTTATTTTTTGTTCTGAATTGTAACTAATAGTGATGCTAATGGATACTATTGTTATCTGTGGTACTGATACGTACAAATAAAAATGAAAGAAAAATTTATTCTACTACAGCGTTATTTACAAATGCATATCTAGATGCAGAGGGATTAAAAACGTTCAAAAAAATTAAAATAATCTCTTGAAAATGTTTGATGACTGAAGGGAGGGTTATAAGTGCTTCTATAATAAAAAATGCAGTAATGTAAAATACCGTAGGAAATTTAATATTTTTAATTCCTCATTCATATTCATCATAGAAACATTTTTGCGAGTATACATAGAGCATATGCACCCTTCACTTCTACTTCTCTTCCGATTTTTTCTCCTCCTACTTTAAATTATTTCATTTTCACTAGCTTTTAGCTAATTTTTTAGGATGGAAGGGTGGTCATGGTTGTCATTTGTCTGATGGTTAGACTTTTCAATTTTAGAAACTTAAATTGGCATTAATGTGGTTTGGTTAGCCTTGCAAATTAGGGTCTTTTAATTATTTGAATTATGTTTTGAGTGAAATCAAACAAAGATTTTAATTTGTGCTAATGACAGCAGGTAGATTTTTTTTCTTCGGTGTAATTATAAAAATTCCATAATAATTATTCATTGATTCATTCTAAGAATATGCCAAGCTATAATTTTATATCCAATTAACACCTCGAATGCCAAAATCATATTTGGCAAATATTGACAATTGAGAACAGAAAGAGAATCATTAGCGATATTCAATGATGCGTAAAATTGACGGTCATGAGTTAATTTTTGGAAGTATAGTTAAAGTCAAGTCAAAAGTATTCCTTCTTTTCTTTTAAGCCTAGACATTTTCATTGATAAATACGATTGGCAGGAAATGTAGGTTTGAATAATAATAATCTAAACTGAGAAAGCCTAATGTCGATAGATTCAAGATTTGGGAGGAGTATAAGTTCTTCGACTGGTCTAATTGAGCTCGAATTCAACTATATTTGAGTTGACTCGAATAGACTTCAAGCTATTTAATCTAAGAATCATGATCATTGAGATTTCAAAAGGAACAGAGCTAGAGCTCAAATTTGTTTTTAAAAACACACTTAATTCGGATCAACTTCAAACTCTGGTCGAAAAAGAATGAATTTTGCAAAATTATCTTCTGTCACATACCAACAACATATGTTATCTTGAATCAAAGAGTTATCATCTCTGCAAAGTTTATCAGTATGCAAATATTTTTTCGACCATCTAAAAATGCGTTTATCCTTTCATATCCGAACCCTACTATTCATTTCTATTTATCTGTTTATTTATTTTAAAAATAACGATTAGCGATAAACTTTGTACGAGGGAAAATTGATACATTTTAAGCACTACTCAGCAAGTTCTTACGAATTTACTCAGTATCATATACCACTGTTCTATGTCGAGTACAGCTCTTCAAGCCGTGAGCGAAATTTGAGTCCTTTTTACTAGTTTTCTTTATTTGTTTGTATTTTTATAATACATGTTATCGATTTTTTCGAAGATAATTGCTGCGAATGAATTCTCTTTTTATTTTCTATTCACTATAAAAAAGAGGGTGAAGCATTTTTCATGTATATGAATTTCATATACACTACTCAAAAATATCATACAGTTCGTGCCTAACAGATCATAAATCATGACATTTAAAATTAAATTATACATGCTATTGCACTATGGGATATATTGAATTACAGCGATAACAAGTGTCGCCAATGAACAAATTTGTTAAGTATCAAAGATTTTTTGATGATGAATCATCCAATCATCGTGATATCTTTATTGTTTTTGATTGACTTTGCTTCAATTAGGGTTTCTTGTGGTTGTGAGGCGTCCAGAAAATTGTCAGTCAATCAAAATTTCAAATTTTTAAAACTAAGATTTTGGAATTTCCAGAAAATGTTAATATTCATCAGAGAGCTAGCTAACCTTGTGAGGAGCTGGAATTTAATATACAATCTCATGCATACAATCAAGTAAAATGACTAATGAAAATAATTCGTGTCACTGAAGCGTTCATTGAATTGACCAAGATGATGATTGACTAGCTTCAAAAAAAAAACTAAACAAAAGTGAAATATTGTTGTACGAGTACTATGAATGTGGCAGAATGTAATACAAACTACAAGCTACTGAGAAACGGAGTAAAAAGAAGAGAAAAAAGACCGCCAAGTAGGAAACAATACGATATATGTGGAGAAAAATTGCGCATGCGCATCTGTGTATGTTAATTAAAATGTTTTAGAGTCAATAAATGATTTCATCGCAGCAAATTGTTCTCTATTTATAGAACTTTAATATGAAATTGATGGAAATCTAACATTCATAATTTCAATTCGCATAAGTGTTTTTCTGCTAGCTGCTCGGCATATTCGCTTAGATTGCAGAGGTCACGCACAAAATTTTGTTATGCTTAATAATACATGTAGATGCTTTTAAAAATAGATCTTTTTTGTATAGAAACTTGTGTGCTGAATGACGGAAAAGAACACGTTTAAATGCAAACAAATTTCACCATCGAATCACCGGAATTACAAAAATATTTGTTTTGATAGGATTTATTGACTTACCTGAAACTATGAGAGCTTCATTTGGTCCTACAGTGTGTATATTTCCCATGATTGATATTCCTTATGATAATTTTATCGCTTAAATCCACCAAATTATTATATTGACACTCTTATCACTTTTTTTTTATTCTTTTTTAACACAATATTTGGCTCTATTTATTTGCCTTTTTGACAATTTCCACAATCCAATGATCAATTTACGCTATCTAACACCTTTCCTTATCACTGAACTCAATTTATAATCAATTATTAAGAATTATTTTATGCCGCGAGCATCATTCATATCTTATCAAAAAAAATTTTAATTTTCGACTAGAAATTACTGCGCATGACAGCACACAGAACCGTCGAATACGTGTAAACAAGCAGCAACATAAGACGTCTAATATATTTTATTCTATGAATGTCATTCAATGGGTTAATAATTGCTGTAATCTTTATTGGATTTTAAGCCATATGGGCGTAATTTGTTATTTTATAACTTCTTATCTAATCAAGAATGTCAAATTTTATGATTTTGTTATTGTTATAATTTAACGGGTTTAAATTTGAATTTTTCTGAACTGAACTGAAATGAACAAATAATTGGATGTGGATTGCTGAACAGAAGATTAAAACTTTTATGAAATTATGCTGTTTTATGTCATTTATACGCGGTTTTGAATACTTGTGATATTGTTAATAGACTGTTGAATGTTAATATAAAGGTTCACTGGTGAAATCACTGTCTAATACTTTAAAATTGAATTTGAACTTTTTATCCGAAATGTTTTTAAGCTTTAAATGAAATCGTATAAATTACAACTGAATTTGTATAAACCCGATTAGCATAAAATGAAATTCACTTTTCCATGGCTACTATGAAAAATAATTTGAATTATACATTGAATATTGCGGGAAAGCATAAATAATGATTTTTTGTCATTTTTTTATGTCATTTGAAGCTTTACAATGGTTTTAATAATTCTATTACATCAATTATACTTGGAAAATTAGCTTAATCGCCTTTAATGCAATGTTAAGGCTCATTTCGGAGCAAAAATTAAGGTTTTTGATTTCAAATTTTCGTTTTGTTGATAAACATTGAACATTTTGGGTGAGAAAATACAAATTCAGAAAATACGTTAAAAAGATATTTAAGGTTTTTGTCAGCAATTCAAAATATTATGCCATCTCAAACAAACACATGTCTCAAAATCAGCACAAAAAAGCATCATACATAACTCGGTTCCAAAATATCATAGCAATCAATGTGTTTGTTTTTTATTGACAAAACAACGTTTGCCGCATAAAAAATTTTTCATTAAAAAATCAGTGAAATTAAAGGATATCCAGCTTAAAAACATTAGAAATGGATGAAAACAAGCAAAAGCTAGACGTGTGGATCGTCAAAATCCAAAATCAAGAGAGAATGGTCCGACAACGAGCACTTAAAGAATTATTAGAATTTTGTCAAAATGAAAAAAATCTCAACAAAGAAAACTCAATAGAATTATTTGATTTCACTTATCTGTGCCTTATAAAGTGCTACAGTGATAAATATGAGATGTGTCGGAGTCTTGCATGCTCAATAATTACTGAAATATTAAAGCATTTACAGCAAAATGATTATTACTTGAGCTTGTTGGTTCCAGTGATTGCAAAACGATTGGCACCGCTGGATATAGTTGAGGAAAGCGAGGAAATGAGACTTCAATTGCTCAAACAGCTTAATTTCATAATTGATAAATACAAGGACCTTAAAATCACGGGAGCAGTTCGTGATAAAACAGGTGACGGACAAGATCGATTGCTTAAGCCTTACAATGACATTATTGACATCCTTAAAGTCCGTCTTATGGACAATTATCCAGCTATACTCAAAGAGTGTTGTGAAGTTATCAAATTAACAGCAATTGCATCTAGTTCATTCCATTATCGAGCTGAAAGTCTTGCGGAACCGCTAATAACTTTATTAAAGCATCGACATTCAGGAATTAGAATAGCAGCTGTTGAAGCTCTTGGAGTTGTTGGATTGAATATTCTCACAAATTGCGATAAGTTAAGGCGAATAATCAAGGAAATCTCACCGTTGCTTATGGATCCAGTTCCATTTGTGAGAAGAGAATGTGGTCGCGTTGGATGTCTATTTTTGATGAAATTGTGTGATCGATATTCATTATTTGAGCCTATATTGCCTTTGGTGATGTGTTGGTAAGTAAAATTGAGCTTCTGTTCCTTAATTCTTTACTTTAACTTATTATTAATCCATTGCAGCCTCACAGACGAAATCGAAGAAGTCAGAACAGAAATTGAAAAGTCATGGTTAGAAGCTGGAAATCTCTATTACAATGAAAACGAGGCAGAGCTGCAAAAATTGAATTTAATTGAACAAGTTCCTGCTGATTATCCGAAAATCATTCCAAAGCGTCCCACAATCGGATGTCGAGCATTAGTCCGTAGATCATTGAGAGTTCTGAACATAATATTGCATGAAATGGAGGATTGGAAGGAAGAAGTTCGTCTACATTCCACAAAGTTACTATATCAAGTTGTAATCCATAGTGAGGATCAGCTAGCATCAAAATATTACGACATTAATGCTGTATTATGTAAAACATGTCAAGATCAAGAAGCTCCAATTGCAAAATTAGCTATGGAAGTAGCTGGACTTATTGGATATTTTGTTGATCAAAAAACATGGAGTAAATATGCATTTGAGGAACTAAGGACTAGACAGAACAAACTGGGTCCAATAAAATGCTTGAATGCTTTATACAGAGAGTCTGTGGATAAAGAGAAATATCAGAATGTGAGTGAATTGATTGACATTTTTATGGACAATTCCATTTGCCACAACACATCAGTTCCATTTCAAACGGAGTTTCTTGAAAACCTTAAAATTCTACATCCTGGAGTTTTGTTGAATGAAAATGTTGTGGAAAATTACTATATTGTGACATTAAAGATGACAGCTGTTGGATATGATAATGAAGTTATTAGAAATGAAGGAATTAATATCCTTAAACTGATTGCTGAACCTGAAAGTGTCTCGAAAATTCACGCAAAGTATTTAAAATCAGCATTGAAAACTCTAGATCTGCTTGATAAGGCAAATAATGACTCATTTGAGCAGATTATGGTGCTTTATGGCATCATTTGTATTTGTGGATTTGAGGTAAAACTTCAAACGCATTTTTAAAAATTTGAATTCAAACGGATTTTTTGGATTTGAATTTATAAGTTCAAAATTTGAACCTGCTATTTCAAATCTGAATAATCCGTTATTTTTAAAGCTAAAATTACCGTTGATTGATAAAACTTGAATCTAATTCATTCACATTGCAGAAATCATTTCTTGAAGATCTAAAATCTTCAATTAAACTTACACTTGAGCATGCTGACGGAGAAGGAAAGATAAAGATCCTAAGTGCTATGGCCATGGTAAATTTCATTTAATTCTTCAATAATGCAAATTTTAATTTATTCTTATCGACAGGCTGCATTGAATTGGGACAAGACGATTGATGTGGAGGATCCAAATGAGAATTTCTTAATTATGATGTCATATATCAATGGTGAATTAAACATTTCTCACTCAAACTCTAGCTTAATACCTTTTAATAACTTTTTAAAGAATGCATTGCACCACACTTGATTTGGCACGCTGGACGTACAGCTGAATCTGTAAGAACTATGGCAACAGCAGTTTTAAGCTCTTTAGTACAAGGAACAACCAAAGAAAATTTTACAAAAATTGTAGATGCACTCTTGGTTCCATTGATATCATTAGTTGACGATAATAACATAGCAACAAGATCTTATGCCTTGAAAATTCTCATGCATGTTGGACCACTCAAGTATGATAATCTTAAAAATTTTGGATCTGGATTATTATCACGTCTTGACGATCCAGGACATGAAGTTCGAGTTAAAGCAGCAAAATGTTTGGGAAAGCTTAAATTAATTGAAAGTGATCAAGATGATTTCAATGACATGTGGGAACATTTATTAAAGCAAATTTTCAGCACAATGATGATTCATCTTGAAAGTCCAGAAATCGATTTAAGGAACAACTTGATTGATTCAATAGTTGAGTTGTGTCATAATTATACGAATGCTTATATCGCTGCATTGAAAGAAGCTATATTGTCAGAAGAGCTGAAACAAAAATTGCCGGCTGCATCATCATAAAAGTGCGTACTTATATATTTTGTGAATTTTGGGTTTTGGGGGTTTTGGGTAAAAATAAACGAGTGAATTTGATATGAATTTTTGATAAAATTTATAACGATCTTTTAGCATTTGAATTTCATGCTGAAATTCTAAGTTCAAAATTTGAATTACAAACAACCGTTAATTTTTGATTTTAAAAAAGTCGTTATAAATAATAAGTCATCAATTTCTTGGTATGAGAAATAAACTTTATTAGCTTCCGAGCATTGCACGGAATATTTTTACAAATGTCGATAGAAGTAGCTTAAACACTGATGGTCTTGAAGACATTAAATCCACTAAGTGCTGTCGACAAAATAACACCAGGCAATTGTGGATGCCAATGAAGTTCCTTAATTTCTTTTTGGCCTTGATGAATGAAGAGAAGTTGTGGTGGCACATCCTTAAGTTGTGGATCATTTTCAGCACCATCGTCCTTTTCGATTGATAGATCAAAAATAGCAATTTGATCATCGTCACCGCCAGTAGCCAAGACAGTTGAATCAAGTGGATTCCATTCGACAGTTGTTATATGATCTGTGTGATGCTTAAATGTAGCAATTGGTGTTTTATTTTGGAAATGTCGAAGATCCCAAACTTTTAAAATTCCATCGTCACATCCACTTGCTATAAATGGTTCTGACTTATTCCAACTTATAACATTGACGTCATTATCGTGAGCATTATCAGCTGTTAACATACAGGCTTTATGTGGTGCTGCTCTAGTATCCCAAATTCTTACTGATTTATCTGCTGAACATGTAGCCATAACATTAGCTTCATTTGGACTGAATTGTATATCCTCAACGGATGCTGTATGTCCAACTAATGGAACTTGATTGACAATCCATGATGATTCAGCTGGTCTCCAAATGTGAATGTCTTTATTACAATCACCTGTTGCTAAAACTCCATGTTCTGTTGATGACCAATCGATTCCATAGCCTTCAGTTCTATGTCCTCTAAATACAAAGACTGGCTTAACAAGTGCACTCTGGTTAGTGCATTCATACACTTTAAGTGCTGCATGATCATTTACAGCATTTAATTGCTCAGTTATGTTGAAAATAAACACTTTACCAGTTTCACTAAAGCTTGCAGCAAATGATTGATTATCTATAGTTGTGGATCTTATTCTATTGACACATCCAATATGGTTAATTAATGCACAATTCATTTGTGGTTTTTTCTCATCCGTTTCCTCAACATCATCCTCATCGTCAGATAAATCACTTTCCAAGTCACTGTCTTCTTTCTCCTTTGACGTTCGGTGTAAATTAGACATTTTCATTACAATAACATTGTTGACATGCGATGCTGATGCCTGTGTTCCACAAACTAGCGATAAACTCATTGGATATGTCTCACGGACACCTAATTGATCTTTAACAATGTCAAAACTTAAGCATGGAGCTCCAGTCGATGCACTGTGAAGCATAATATATGCAGATTCATCGCAAACAAGTTCTTCATCGTCCTGTAATTTGCGATTTGGTAAATAAACTTCCTGATCTTCATTTTCGTTATCATCGTCTGATTCCTCAATTTCATCTTCGTTGATTACATCCATTTCCATTTTCTCACTATCGCCATCCATGATTTAATCACTTTATGTTTAATTAACTATTAAAAACTTAAAAATTTCAGTTTTTGTTATTTCTGAGCCAAAAACACATGTGAGTTTAAAATTTTTGATTGTGTGTGTGAGGCAAGTTCAAAAATTGAACAGACTGTAACGTGTTTTAAAAATTCAAACAAGGAGACTGTCACAAACAGAAAGCAGACAATCCCCGAGAGAGAAAAATTTTCATCAAATTAAAAAAACTCGTGAAAAAACGTTCTAAACTCATCCAAGATAATATAAAACCGTCAACATAGGTTTATCAGACACAGCACATATGGATATCTTTGCCAACAACTTGCAGCAGCAAAGGTAAATATGAGTTGTTTGAATTTTAAATTTCTCCATACAAAAAAAGTAGTAATGGAGAATGTTGGTGCTGGATGTGTGAAAAAATAATTTCCTTGAGAATTTTCAAGTGGCTATAATTAGATAATAATTACTAATGTAAATACAATTTTTTTTCAGGGCGGTGACAGAGCAATTACGCCGAGAAGCTGCAATTCAGAGAATGCCTGTGACTCAAGCAGTCTCTGATATCATCAAATATGTCACGGAACATGAGCAGGAAGACTGCTTGCTTGTTGGCTTCTCCAGTCAAAAGGTTAATCCATTCAGAGAAAAGACCAATTGCAGCATTTTGTAAACATAATCCTTTTTATTGAAAAACCAAAGTCATCGTCAGTCAGTGTCTCATGTTCTACTTACTGTGTTTTGGGAATGGTTGATGCTGAGGATCAAACATAATTTTATGATTTCCGAGCATAAAATTCAAAATTTAAAAATCCGTTGAAAATTTAAATTTCAAAAATACGTTAGAATAGTTCAAAATTCAATACTCTTTGTTTAATTAGCTTTGACTCTTTTAAGTTTGATGAAAAACAAAACTGCACTCAGCACCAAGGAATTTGAATCAGCCTCTGACTATTCCCAAACTTATTTATCCGATGTATATCGCTTTGTGAGCTTAATCATAAATTATTATCTACACTACTATATGATTTCAATTATATTAATAAGCGACTTTAGTTAATTAACAATTCATTCAAAAGTATTTCGATGAATAATTTCGCACAAATGCGACATGAATAATTTAATTCCATCACATTTAGTGAATCAGTGCTTTTTCTTCTCCTCCAAAAAAAATTACATTATAATGATGAGAATATCTATGTGAATGTTTTCTGTATCTGTTGATTATGTTTCCGACTAAAGTTTTAAATTAAGTAAATAAAATGTCTATCAACTCTATGTCTACACAAAAGATTTGGATGTTTTGAAATGCCATTTTCAGATAGAAAATCTGGAAGGAAACTGGAAAATATCTGGGAATGCTGGAAAGACTAGAAGGAACTTAAAGCGATATAAACTTAGGGGCCGTTCACTTATTACATTACGCAGAAAAACGACTTTTTTCACCCCCCTCCCCCCTTGTTATAATATGTTACAACTCACAACCCCCCACAAGGTTTAGTTTAAACCCCCACAAATTATTATCATAACCCCAAGACAAACGTTATATTTCGTAAAACATACAAAAATAGACGCAAATTGAAAAATCACGAGCGTGAAATAACAACAAGAATCAAAACCTACGCAAGGCAATTAAACCTAGCAACAAATCCTGCATTCCAGCATAAAACACATTCCGTTCACAAAATTATAAATTCCATGCAAATATCGAATCAGCCTGCTAATTAAAAGCTATTAATATTCATAAGGTTATAAAATATGGAAACAAATGAGAATTTATCATAAAAAGCTAATTAAATTCATACGAATTATTTGGACTCGAGAAATTTATTCAAAAACAGTCAAATTTATGCATTACATCTTAAAAATTTGCGTCCTAAGTCTCAAAACAAACTCAATAATTATCACATTTAAGAATATTAAAGCATAAGGCTTCTCAATTTATTAGAAAAGTACATCCTGTAACTGAATTCCGGTGTATGCTAAACCTCATCATAGCTTCTTTATCTAATAAGATCAGCTACTAATCTTTAAGATCATCAAGTAGATGATGGTGATTGAATGTAGAATATTTTTGAAGGTTGTTCTGGTTCAAAAAAATTTGGTGGCATTTCGTTCAGCAATTGTTCAACCAATTCTTCAACATTTCGAACGTTAGGCATATTTTCAACATGTCTCTTAAGATGCATTCTGTAAGCTTGACGGTTGATCAAGGCCGTTGCCTCACTCTGGAATAGAAAAAGTATGGTAAAATTTGAGGATTTGTTAAGTTTTTGTTTTTGCTTACAACTGTCAGTTGTCCATCACTAATGCAATCGTGCATCCACTTGAAGCAAAATGAAAAAATAATTCCCATGGTTTGTGATGAAAAATTTAACAATTAAAACTTGAGTTTTTGAGATAGTAAAAAGATCTAATTGCCTTGAAATCCGTCAAAACACTGTTGATTTTATTAGAATTTTTATTACTTTACCTGAAAGTTTGCCTTTAAAGTTTCGATATTTGTTATTAAATAAGTAAAAGTTTCTCAGCATCAAGTTTTAGAATCAAAATCTTATGAATTCTTGAAAATAGTTTGAATACATTCGATGGATTGCTAATTAGATAGCGCCAATTTCTAAGACTACCCAGGAGAATAGTAAATCTTCCATTCAACTTCTTGCGCCATAGTCGGTACTATTAACACACCTAGTGCCTATTTCTAGAACTGGCACAATGACATATAGCTCGGTGTAACCAAACTTTTTTTGCCGGGGATAAACCTTGATGCTAAGCCATGATCAAAACCGTACACGTCATACGGTCTGAATTTTTCGCGATACATAGTTTGAAATGCATTGATATAGCTGAATGGCTAAGATATCAGACCAGACTAGACATCATAGGTCCTTCTTTTTGGAGATGTGTGACAAGCTCCGAATTCAGTCAAGAGCTTGACAAATTCACAATTTTCTAACGACTCATTCAAAAATGACTTACAATTTGTAAGAAGGTTTAAGATGACAGGTTCAACAGAGGATCCTTAAAAATAAATTAATTAAATCCTGGTTATTGAACGACTCCGAACATCCTCTTCTGATGAATGAAATATAAAGTGATCCCATAACTCGAATGAAAATATCAATAACTCACATAATCGCGATAGACGATGTAAATTTCCATAAAACAAAGATGAAGGATGTGTGGGGAAAATATAAAAAATATTCAATCAATCAATCTGAAATCTGACGCTTAATAAACAAATGGGATGTAATAAGAGAATCTGACATCATCAAAAAATTGAAAAATTGCAGACTTTTTTCTTGAAAAAACAATCATCTTTATTTTTCGTTCACATGTGCTACAAATCGTGTTATTTATGTTCTATTCGAATACTACAAATTTTATTCAAATATATATTTTTTTAATATTTCATAAAATTATTGAAAAATTGATTTTTTTTAAAATATATTTTTAAACTTGAACAAATTAATTTCACCTTTCTTATAAGTCATAAGTGCAAATTAATGAGCCATTCGCTATAATTATCATCGTAAATTTTCATTATCATCTTTATACATTTAATTGATAAGAGAAACTTTTGTTCGATTCGTACGATGCTTCCAATGAAAGAAAAGTGCGTATTTAATTAATTTATTCCTTCAATAATTATTTAATTAGAGACACTTATGGGATTAGTTTATCGATTATACAAATTTAGTGTTAATATTAATTAATATAGTAAGAAATTCAGAGGACTGAATGAGATGAGGCTTGAGTCAATTGATTGGAAACTTGTTGGGTGTTGCATGGTTTTTGGTTTCAGCAATTGCTTCAGAAAATAAAGGATTAACTCGTCTTAGTAAACAGAAGATTTTCCAAGCAGGGATTCTGAACTTCTCTATCACCTGCCACTTTATGAAAGTCTCAAACTAGACTATTCTCTAGATAATAACAATGGCAGTTCAAACTACCACCACAAAATAATCATCAATTGACCTCAAAACCACATCTCTGCAATGTCTGTTGCAAACCATATCATTTATTCTTAAGCCTTCATTCAAATACTTCATAATACAATACTTATCGTTACTTAATTCGGATTTTGGTGTTATTCTATGTCGAATGAATGATTATTATATGAGCTATTTAAGGAGTTTGATGGGTGAAACTTATTGACATATTTTTATGCTGTAATATTAAGCCTTTTTGCTCATTCAGTTGATGGTTTGGAAATTGATTGAGTTTTTTGGGGGATTGATCGATTCATCTTTAAATTAGGTGGACGTAAAGTTTTTGTTTGAAAAGGTTTGATCTCTATTGTTGCAAGGATTTAAATATGCTTTGAAGATAGTTCCTTCGACAATCAAAGAAATCTACCATAGAACAAAGATTTTCAAAAAAGAAGAAGTCTTGAACTCTTTTCAAATTCTTCGAATCCTCAAATTTGAGCACTTCAATTACTTCTACAAATATTTTTTTTGGATCAATCAAACTTCTCAGAAAGATCATCAATTAAGAAGAAGAAAACTTAAGAATTTAATCAAGTTTACGCTTCATCATTCATTGGTGAGCTGAAGTGGCTCGGTGGCGGAATGGTTTAGTACTTCGGTACCTAATTATTGCAATACCGACACAGCGATCATGGGTTCGAGACTGGGTATGGGAAATTTTTCACTTGTTCTTTTTCGAATCATATGTACTGGAAATGAGGCTCACAGCCTTCCTTTGTAGGCTACAGACAGAAATGTCATCAAAGGAGTGGTTCGGATCCCACTATAAATTGTAGGTCTAGGTTTGAGTGCAGTGGTTTGGCGCATCCTCACTCGTTAAACTCTCATTAGCTGCGAATCGCCCTAGCGCACCTCTGGATCACAATTGATCTGAATAGGTAAAGGTTTTTTTTTTTTTTTTTTTTTTTTTTTTTTTTTTTTTTTTTTTTTTTTACGCTTCATCTAAATCAAACCTTTTCAATCAATTTCCTGTCCTATTTCATTTTCAATAATTTAAAGATGAAATTATTTTTATCTAGAAAACTTTTAATTGCATTTTTTTTTTTTCCTAGAAAATATCTCACTAAATGGCAGCATTAGGGTTTTCAATCCCGGTCCAAATTTTCAATCCCGGGATTACGGGATTGAAAATTCTCGATCCCGGGATCCCGGGGAATCCCGGGATTAAGAAATTTTTAAAAAAGTCTCAAAATTTTCAATAAATAAAACATAAAATCTTCGTTTGAGAGAAAAATTCTTATTTTATATTTGTTCTATATATGTTTATTGTTAATGATTAAGCAAAAAAAGAAAACTAAGTACTAATAATCTTAAAATGTGATCCAAAGAATCATCAAGTAGTTGAGTGCAAAGTTTACTACAAAAATTAGTTGTTGAAGGAAAAGCACGTTCAGATTCCACACTTGTAGGTTTGACAGTTAATAGATACTCATAAGTCAAGTTAAGCAATGACCCTTTGATGCCACTGTCGTCAAACATCACAATTTCTCTCTTCAGAGCCTTTTTTCTACTCTTAGAATTGTCCCTATTTTGAAATTAGTCATTTTTAAGTGTAAAAATAAAATTAAGATAAAAAGACCGTCACTTACTTACATTTTTTTTTTGTGATGAGGCATATTAACAAATTTTCAGAGAGTATTCTGCACGTCAGTAGTGTTTTGTAGTTTTTAAAAGCAATAAATCAAAATTTCAATGATTTTGAATTATTTGTATTTCTTGCGAACGAATTTTTTTTACAAAATTTAAAAATTTTTTAAAAATTTTTAACTACTAACTCAATCCCGTAATCCCGGGATTGAAGCTGGTTTCAATCCCGGGATTGCGGGACCAAAAAAAACGCGGGATACCGGGATCCCGGGATCCGGGATCCCGGGATTGAAAACCCTAGGCAGCATTAATTGATAAAGTTGAATGCAAATGTTGATGTTGGAAGTTTTCTTTCTTGATTTTTCGTGAAATATGTTTGTGTCAAGGAGAGTCAATTTCAGTGATGAAGCTTATTGTAAATCAACAAGTAAACAATCTGTGTCAGACACGATATAAACATCTCCATAGTTACATTTTTACACGTTCAATTCAATTGACTGCGCTTATATGAAAATATAACGTTACATTGATGCTATTTTGATTCATTTATATTCGTTTGATAAGCCAAAGCTTTTTTTATAATAGAATTGAATGATCGAAAACGTGTGAAAGCTTCAATTGAATGTAAATTATCTGATGAAATAAAGCTTCTGTTGTGAAGAATAGAGATCATTAAGTTAAAATAACAAGGTTGCAATATAAAATATCTGATAATTTAGAGAATAAAAATAAATGCGACTGTTTGAAAGAACTTCATGGTTAAAATGACCATTGTCAACAAAAATATTCAGTTGCATTCACAACAGAATATATTTGAAATCCAAAAATCCGTTAAAAAATCAGTCGGATTTACAACAAATGTTCAGAAACACACCAAAGAATCATCAACTTTCCTTGCACAACACCAACCAAAAACTGAACAAGATTAATTAAATTTTCATAATCTAAAGAATGATTCTTATTAGGACAAGGCTTACCGGCATCTTCTAAGATGTTTTATTGTTAACATTTTTGTTTCTGGAAGTCGTGTGGGAGGGGCGAAATTTTCCATTTTCTCATTAATAATCTTGTTTAAAAACATCTTTTCTTAAACCATTTTGCAAATTTTTCATCTTATTAAAATTTTTCTCTCAATGTCAAATTGTTATTTTAAATACATTACATTTTCGTGGCACATGAAAATTGGATTTAACAGGGGTATTATCGTGCACAATGAGATAAAAAGAGTTATTATTGTTAAGATTCTTATTTCGTGCTTTAAATCCCATTATTTGAATTAATTTTTTAAATGATTTTTTATCACCCTTTCTAATTCTCATTTCCTCTCACTTCTCCGACAGCAAACAGATTTTCCGTTTGTAGCAGTGCCAAGTTGATGGATGATGGAGGACTATTTAATTTAAAGATTGTTTTCATTTGTTTTCTTTTATGATAGATAATTGAGCATTCTATTGCATTCTATTGTTTGCTATATTATTCACGATTGCATGTAGTTGGGTTATTTATTGCAATTAATTTTTCTTTTCTTTTATTTGGAGACTCCAAAGTGCTTTGAAGGTTAATATAAAGATTTAACAAAGGTTTGATTGAAATCTGTCAATATTTGGAGGATGTAATATAGTTTCAAACCCTTTGGACTAAAATAGCGTAGTTTTAAGCCCTTTGTTTTGACAATAAAAGTTTTAAAACAACAGAAAAAGTAAATTTGACTAATATCTAACCAAATCTAATCAATCTCCAACCTAAACTCACTCTGCTCAAATGTTTAGTTTGAAATAATCTCAGCTTCTCTCCTTCATCTTTCCTAAGCTATCTTCAAGTCCTTTACTCACCTTTGATCGTAACTTTCTCATTATAGAATGTTCAAAACATGAATTTTCAAAAACCATCAACAATTCAGCACTTGAAACCTCCAAAAATCTCTAATAAACTTTTACTTTATATTCATATTTATATCTCTTGTATGTCTTAATCTCATTTAAAAATCAAAAATATCTTCATCTAGTTAACGTTTTAAGTACAATAAAAACATTTATTGCTGATTGGTGCTGGAAAAACTGCTCATGGTGGACAAACTGCATGTTGAAGATGATGGTGAGAATGGTCGAAATTCTGAAGTTGTCTTGTTTCCAACACCGCTTTGATATCTTCCAATCAGCTTCAATAACTCAATTGCGTCATATGCATCTCGCTTTTCATTAAGGAGTCTGTAGAAATAATAATATGTGAAAAAAGATGGAAATTTAATATTTTATTTTGTATCAAAAGAATTTCATTTAATTTCACATTTCAATTTTGAATTGTTAATCTCGATGAATAAGGAAGGAAAATAACGTGAAATGAAAAGAATTGCAATTGAATGAAAAAAGGGAGGAAATTATAATTTTAAAGGGTTTCTGTGAATAAAGCGCAAAAAATTAATTTAAATTTATTGGTGCCATAAGCATTGGGATGGGAATGGATTCTAAAACTGGCATTATAATGGATTTATGTTAAGTACTTTAAAAAATATTGTTATAACATTCATTTTTTATTCAAATAATAGTTATTGTGACGTAGTAGCTTGCCCGTTGCTTACAACTTCAGGACTGTAAACATCATGTTTCTTGTTAATCTGATATGAATCACTAAACTTGATCGTTTACTTCTTATATACTCAAATCATTTTGTGCCTGCACATTTTCCTCAACGCAATCAAAGTTACTCTTAGTCAATTTAATCAAAAAGTTTTGGCATTTTAATCTAACATTCATAAAGTCTTAGCAAAGGAGTTTGGTTCTTGGTTGTCAGTGATTCTTAATCTTTCTTGAATTGACAAACTTTGCAGATTGACACCAAACTATATTTCTCAAATAATTATGTTGGAACTCAATTTTAATCGCTAATTAAGCTCATTGTTTACTAAAGTTTAACTAATCAGACTAGTTTAAGAATATTAAATCTAAACCAAAAAACTAAATTACAAGTTTGAGAACATCTGCACTAGACTTTCATTTTCATTCAAATATCCTCAATTCAAATCTAAGTAAAGCATGAAGAAACTTTCTTTTTCGCAAAGAAAAAATGATGAAAAAAGTTTTTCAAAAAATTTTCCCTTTGTGATTATTACGAACAAAAAAAGATTTTATGATTGAATTTCCTTCCTTTTCAATAACTTTTTATTCAGTCTATGGTTGTTGACGTGAAGTAGACTCCATAATAAACAAGGATGAATAGAATTTATTTTAATATGATTGAATTTATGAAAGAGTTATTAAGTGCCGACTTCTTATTTGTTCTCTTAAAAAATTAATTCTGATAAGGTTCTTGAATTAAGGGGTTGTTTTGATAGCAAGCTACATGAATTGATGAAGAAGACAAGATTTTGTGTTTTCTGAAGCATATTAATAAGAGATTATGAAAATGATAAATTTTTCAACGCCATGCTTTAGCAGAGTGAGGACGAGAAGTAGGAAGAAGACGATTGAAAACACTTTTCAAGGTAGATTGAAGAATACTGTAAGAGGAGATAAGCAAAGAGCATAATAAATTCTGTCATAATAAATGAGCGTTGAGGTTCCTTCTTTATAATAATGTGACTAGAAAAGTTTAATTTCAATCTTCATTTTATTGAACAAATTAAATTGATTGTGATTTGAAATTATGAAGAAAAGAGGTGTATATTTCAGCATTTATACTTAGAGTTCTTTTTCTCTGGATGAGATCAGTTCGATTTAAAATAATCTGGACGAGTTCGATTCGACTTGAATGTATTTGGAAATAAATTAGCACAATATAAAAGTTTCTGGACTAGATCAGTTCGATTTAAAAGTATCTGGATTAGATCAGTTCGATTTAAAAGTATCTGGACGAGATCAGTTCGAATTGAATGTATTTGTACAAAATTAGTACAATTTGAAAGTATCTGGATGAGATCAGTTCGATTTAAAATAATCTGGACGAGTTCGATTCGATTTGAATGTATTTGGAAATAAATTAGTACAATTTGAAAGTTTCTGGACTAGATCAGTTCGATTTAAAAGTATCTGGACGAGATCAGTTTGATTTGAATGTATTGGGACAAAATTAGTACAATTTGAAAGAATATGGACGAGATAAGTTCAATTTAAATGTATCTGGACGAAATTAGTATAATTTGAAAGATCTGGACTAGATCAGGTCCATTTGAAAATATCCTTACTTTTCTAAATTATAAATAAATAATAAAAATAATAATAATCTGGATGAGATCAGTTTAAATTGAAAGTATCTGGACGAGATAATTTCAATTTGCGCATAGCTTTAGTCAAAATGATTAAAAAATCCAAAAAATCAAGCCACGCCTTCAATAACCAAACATTTTTCAAGTTTGAAATTTAAAAAGACAAAAATAATTCCACCAGCTTACATAAATTCAACCCTACTAACAGTTTCATAGACCTCACAAAGCTCATTATCTTATATGGCCCACATCACGCTAAACTTATTGACCCATTCTAAAAAGTTTTCGCTCATAAAATATCCATTTAAGTCATTTAGAGAGAAATTTTTTATGAGCCTTTCATCCGATTTTCGCAAAAGAAGCAGAAAGTCAAGAGCATGTAAGACTATTGGATGTGCTCAAACGCACACACACGTCGGAAGCAAAAAATTTAAGTGTTTAGTACATAAAACATTACATTTACATTAAGGCTCATGAATAAAAGAGAATATTTCAAAAAAAAAAGCTGCAACATGTAAGCTTAAAAAGATCAAAATTGATCTTTCTGGTTGTTTTGCAAGCTGTCTACAGCACAAACTGTGCATACACAACATGGAGAATCATTGAAAAGTTGATAAGCGGAAATTATTGTGCTGCATCATGCATCGTCACGATTTGCAGCATATAGGATTAATTCAATGAATGTCTAAAATAAAATCGATTCACGTCGAGAGCTTTTCTGTCGAGTAGGATAAATGAATAAGCAGGAGGGAGGATATCTTTTTGTAAACACAGCAAAAAATTTTGGTTTCGAGATTAAATATGAATTGAGTAGGGTGATTAGTGTGCAGTGGGTGTGGGAATATGACGCTTTTGTAAAGCGTTTAGTGATTGCTTCCAATTTTTTTGATTTTGATCTTGGTCAAGATTATTGGTCTTGGTCGCAGTCTAGGTCAAAATCAGGAATTAATAGACTCAAAAACTTTAGCATAACCTCAAAAATTCAAAAACAATTTTAAATAAGGCTGCAGAATTACCAAATATACAAGACATAACAATGAAAGCCAACAAAATGTTGCAATATTCTAAAACAAGCTGCTCCAAGCAGTAATTGACGTTTAATTTATCGAAAACCGAACAATCCAAAATATTATTCTACATATCCACAAGCTACATCCTCTTTCCAGACACAATTTTGATAATAAATCTTTAATTCTCTTTAAAAAACATCAGATTTCATATTTCAAAATGTCCTTCAGAATTGAAATGTTTGTCAAGCATCATCAGTACGAGGTCAACCTCATTGTATCACAATAGCAGTAAATGAATATTCATTTATCTCAACCGAGCTGATGATAAACACGAATAAAATTATTTCCGATCAATACTTATTATCAATTATAAATTAATTTTTTTTGTCTACGTGTGCAGACTTTAATTATGTGTATTTTAATAAAAATGTAAGGCTGATATTTTTGTATGGCTCATCACAAAATGAATATAAATTTTTTAAAGCATTATTTTTTTGCACTGGATTTTATAAAATTGGAATTTTTTTAAATTTATTAAAATTTAATTGATTTTGAATAGCTTTTACAGAGTTCCATATTTAAATTGAAAATTTGTGGAATATTTTATATTAAAATGCAATTCCATTAATACTCGTACGTTGTATATTTAATTGTAAAATTGAATTTATGCCATTTTTTTGTAAGTTGATTAAGTTGATTGTATGTAGGGACGTAGATAGAGGCTGAGTCTTTTTTTAATTCGTTAGCTTGAGTCGCTTAACTCTCTTAAGAGGGGTTGGCAGTTGCTTTACATAAGGTTATCTTAAGATTATCTTGGATTTTAACAGACCTCGAAGTCGATAGGGTTCGAGTCGACTCGAGTTGACTAAACTTTTCTCGAGTCTTGGAGCTGTGGCTTTTAATATTGAAATCGAACTTTATGAACTTTAAAGCTCGTGTGACTTCCAATTGACCAACAAATGGAGCCTTGTGTCACTCGAGGGGAATATAAAATAGAAAACCAAAGCGTACACATTAAGGGAATTTCTGGAAAATTCTTAAAAATGTATAATACTTCCGGAAGTTTATTAATTAATATTCTAATGTACAGGACATGATGAGATAATGCGACTTAAGTTTAATTATTGATAACTAGATGCGAAGTATTGGTTTTGTTTACTTATTTGGAGTTTTTAAAGGAATTCAAGTCTTTTCTTACCATAGGAATCTCTCGGAAGTTTCGGAAAGCTTCCAGAAGTTTGGGAAGTCTTTCCAATTAATTAACTTTTTCCCGTAATATTGTCTTTCTCTAAGTTTCACTAAGGATCAAGAAAATGAAACAAATGCCGAACTGTTCAATTCTATTTTGATCATTTTAAATTAGTTTTGATCATTTTGAAGCATTCTTCAATCTTGCACAGTGTATGATGTTATCTTTTTGACCACCAGACATTAAAAATATGCTTTTAAAAAATCATAAATTTCAAAAAAATCCTAGATTCATTTTAATTAAAAATCATCCAAAATTGTCTTCGATCAAAACAAAAATTGCGTCTCCTTATTTTCTAATTTGGATAATGTAGGCATGAGTGAAGAAGAGAGATAAAAATGAGCAGTACTAAATCATTAATAAAAAGCTTTTTTTGTTCTTGTTTAACGTGTACAAAATATACAAACTTTCTAAAATGTAAAAGGGTTATTTTTTTGTGAAGAAGGAAGTTTGGGATGTGATACTAAGTGGTTTTGAAAAAAAAAGTCATGCCATGTTTTTCGCGATGGGGATATTAAAAATCCGTCTCTACTTTCATCTTTTTCTCCAATGTAATTATGAGCACCAATCCGACCGTGAAAATTAATTTTTTGTCCCTACTTTGTAAGACGCTTGTTTTTTTCGATGTCAAGTTAAAGAATTTTTTCCTTCACTTCCACTTTTCTTTTTCAGATTTTTAAATTCCCCCTCGAATTTTACCTGCCTGAAGTTTCCTTGAGCTGCTCCACGAAATCACGTCCGGTGATGTCAGCAACTTCATTTGGATCCATATTTGATAAAAGCTCCAAGTCAGGTTCACTAAGTATTGAGATATTGCAAAGATTTGATTTCATTTGACCCACAAGCTTCTTTAAGTGAACTTTCTCGCCATTTCCAGCACTGTCGATTGAATCAATTTCCGAATTGTGCGTTGAGATCGTCAGATAGTGTGTTGGCTGTAAGGAACAAAAAGAATATAATTCACATTAATTTAATTGATTGTTTTATGGTGAAAATATTAATAAAATTTATGGAACCATTCCATGATCAAGTGAGACTTCATAAGGAACACGTAAACACAGACGAAATCACTTTCAGTAAGTGTAGCTTCTTATTATTTACACTCGACTGTTGATACATTCTCCAAAGCAATTTGCGCTCGTACGAAAGAGAATAAAAACGCATAAATCATGTTAATGCTTTGGTACGCATTCTTGCAGTCAAAAGGGTTTTGCTCCTGACATTTTGACTGACAAAGTTGATGATTATTATGTTGTAGTACAGACGAATTAGCTGAATAGAGATTCATGCTGTGCGACATGCTTAATGACGAGCTTATTCGGAGACATCGATATTTATAGATTAAAGACGTAGTCTGCAGACTGGCATTAAATTAAAATATTATGGGATATTTTTAGAATGAATAAGCATACAGTTTTGAAGGAAAACGTTGAAAGTTTGTTATATTTTAATAGAGACTTGAAATAGCGTTGTTTAACAACTGAACAGCTAAATAGCGAATTATTCAAAGCTTGTTGATCTTCAACGGAAATATTAGATTTAAAACTTCGCATCAATGAAGCAAAGAACTATCGGCCTGTTTCACTAAAGTGGATTATACTCGATTTCGGATTATCCACTTCAATTTTTTTGTAAATATCTTTCTGTATACTTTAAACTTTTACTTTTTGTTAAGAAGTATTAATTATTCAATTTTCTAGCCAAATCTAGTAGATTAACTTCGATTTTTGCTTTAATTCTCAAAATAATGAAGATATAAAAATTCTAAGTATATGTTAATTTAAGGAGCAAAGTACTCTTACTAGATCACACATTAGGGCAATTCCATGAGTGAAAAAATGCAAGTAAAATTCCCTTTGATCAAAATACTCTTAAAATAACACCTTTTTCCGTTCTTTTAAAAATTTATAATTAGTAATAACTCAAGATATTCATTTTAAAATAGGTAATTAAACTTTTAAAGGTCTATTTACTGAAATAATTCAGTTTTTTCATCGTTAATCGGTTAAGTTTACGAAAATTTCGCTTCTTATATCCTTAAAAAAGTCTTCAAATATCCATTTTTTGTGCTCAAGTATATTTTTAAGCCATAGATATTCACTTTTTCTACTTATTTGTACACTTTTTCTGTTCTTAAATGCTTTATTCACAGAGAAAATTAAAAAATACTGCGTTAATCGGTTAAGTTTTCAGCGAGTGCCTATTAAAATAACGAATTTTAAAATTTCGAAACTTCATTTTTACGAACTCACATTTTTACGACCATATCATTTTTACGAAAAATTATTTTTTCGACTTTTTTATAAATTTTAAATTCTGAAATGTCGTTAATTTCATCACGTGTTCTCTTTAATAATAAATCTGCAGAAAACAAGATTAATAGAACAAATGTTTTTAAATGTACAGAATTAAAACGTATTTTTTATTTCAATATCACATTTTATGGACTACATGTGTATGTTTAAAGGAGTAACAAACACAATTAAGCTCTTAAATCATTTTTGACTCCTGCAATAGCCTTTAATGTTTCAACTCGTGGCACGGATTTTCGACGGTTCAGGATTGATTTAATGGAATGCTCTGTCTTTTCAAAACCTGGCATTCTATGCTTTTGTGGCTTTCCAGCCAAATATTTGTCAATATCCAAGACACAAATTCTTTCCTTTAAACATACACATCAAATGTGATATTGAAAAAAAAAATACGTTTTTATTCCATACATTTAAAAACATTTGTTCTATTAATCTTATTTTTGCAGATTTATTATTGAAGAGAACACGTGATGAAATTAACGACATTTCAGAATTTGAATTTTATAAAAAAAGTCGAAAAAATAATTTTTCGTAAAAATGATATGGTCGTAAAAATGAAGTGTTCGTAAAAATGAAGTTTCGAAATTTTAAAATTCGTTATTTTAATAGGCACTCGTTTTCAGCGCTTTATCCAAAACCAACAAAAAACAGAAAATTTGAATTTTGAATTTCCGTTAAATTTATTTATTGCTAAGAATAATTTCTCTTCGAAAAATAACATTTTATTGGGTTAATAATGAATTCAATGTGTTGTTTTTCATGTTAACATCATAATTTTGTGTAATAATCGTAATAATAATCAAGGCAATGAAAATTAGTTTGAATCTTTTGAAAATTTGTAACGGTAAAAAAAAATTCAAATTACTACAAGTAGAAAAATATTACAACTCGCTTTTTCTCAGTTCCCTTTACTCGTGGAATTGCCCATTAGATCTCTTAAAAACCTTAAGCGTCTGGAGATATTTCCAAAAAACTGAAGTAGATATTCCGAAATCGAGGATAATCCACTTTAGTGAAACAGGCCGTATATTTTTGTTTATAAAAATTTATTTCTTTTTAATTTTTTTAAAATATTATGTTTTAAAGCACAATTTAAAGTTTTAGAGCTCAATTAAAGGTTTTAAATCTCAATTTAAAGTTTCACAGCTAAAAATTAGATTTTAAAATAATCATTAGATTATGGAAAGTAACCTTGTTTTTTTAAAAAAAAACATTAGTAATGTTTTGATTACTAATATATTTATATGTTTTAAGCACCAAATGCTCGGATTCGTTTTATTGCTTAAAAAGCCTTGATCTTTTATCTAACTAGAGAAGAATTACATTTATGTATCAAATATAAGAACAGAATGTGTTATTGTAATTTAAAAACTGAACTTAATTTTAATTGTACTAATTTAAATTCAGTGCATTTTTTAATTTTCTGGTCGATAGAATTCAATCTGATCAATTACTGTCGCTAGTCAAAATAAATATAGTAAACCGATAAGAGAACATTCATTATCCGCATTAGAAGACCACTCATTCTATCCGCATCATTTGCTTAACATTTTCTTGTTTGCGTAACACTCCCTTCGTGTTAATTGCTTGAAATGTAAATATGTGGAGCTCATAAATCGCCAGGAGCTTTATTTATTTGCAATATTTCAAATTGTACTCTAGAAAGCTTACACTTATTCACTGTTGCCATTTATTCTTCAACGTATTTTCAAGCGCAATAATTCTTTCTTTGTGATGACTAAGATTTCTTGAAAAGGCATACGCAAGGATGGATTGTAGCAAAAGGAAAGGAAACGTGTGTTTCGCCTTAATTTTCTTTCTTCAAAAAAAAAAGAGTCTACATCATATAAAACAGAAATTGACGTCAGATGAAAGTAAACTTCTTTACCTCCTCCTTATTTAATTTCTAAGCTATTTCTTTGTTGTAAATAAGATTTTTAAACAACATCATGGCAACAGTCGATGACGTAATTTTAGATGTTTCAAGGTTTCAATGTCATGGATTTTCGAAAAGGTTCTTACAGCCTCGAGACGCACGATTTTTTTCTTATTATTTCATTAACATTTTGAAGAATTTGCGGTTGGTTCTTATTTTATTAGGAAGTTGGTGGTTTTCTGTTTTGATTACTTGATTTCTTCTACAATTTATTTTCATTCTTTGAGTATAACTGAGATTTTTCAAAAGAAATCCAAGAATGATTTAATTGTCTTGAAGACAAACATGTGGAAAAAAATTAAACCAATTAATTATAAAACACGGAATCATTCACACCTCATGATTCAATTGTCGTCTAGACGATAAAATAACAAGAATTATTGTTTAAAAAAATTGTCTGCGAGTTAACAGCACAAATTTCCATAATGCGATAATTATTTAAATAAATTCAAGCTTAAATTTCATCACACTTGTTTTAATTAATGTAATAATAAACATACGATAAACTTTTGTGCTTTTATGAGTTCAAAAAAAAAAGTTGGGGAAATAAAAGCTGTTTAATGTTCAGAAATCTCATATTTGTGAAGCTCATTAAACAAGTCCTTAATTATGTTCATTAATAATAAATACGAAGTTTGTAGTCTTGAGCAAAAAAACGGGCAACAATATCTTTCCGTAAACAAATTAAGATGTAGGTTAATATCAAGCAACTGTTGTGTTTACAAAATATTATAAAAAACAACAACTTTAGATTCACTAGAACATTTCAATTCAAAAACTTTGATCCTGTGCCTCGTGTTTTTGATATCGAATCCTAAATTATTCAAGAAACTAGATCTCACTTACAATATAAACTTTGTCCCTCAATTCCTTGCTTTAAAATGTTTTCCTCGATCAAATAAAGAACATAAACTGAAATTCTACATAAACAGCAAAATGACATCTTTTAGATAAGCCAAATTGAAAGTTTTCTAGATTTCCTCAGAGACCACAGATCCATATATTCTCTCTTTATCGAGATGAAATTACCATAACATTGAAAACTTCAACCGAAATTCATTTCAAAAAGTATTTGTAGAACTTTTAATGTAGAAATTAAATTTTCAGCAATATTCTCATTCCATCAAATTATAACTTTAGAAGAAAACAACATGAAAAGCAATTTTATCGCATGAGACGAGGGAATTGGAGCAAAATGATAAATTATTAGAAAATTTTCTAACCTTGAAATAATTTATTTCTAATTCATTAATGAAAATGTTGTTTGGTATGATAACATTCTTAGGATGTCTTGTTCTATTTGATACTTCTAATAAATATCTTTGAGCATGAATAAATCTTCAATTTTGAGGAATGTGTGTCTTGAGAATCAACATCTATGAATTTATAATGAAGCAATTTATTTGAAATATCTTAAGGTTGTTATATCCTTTTTGGACATTGTTGACCTTCTATTTAGCTTAAATACATTCTTCATTGAGTTTAGTCCTCATTAAAAATTTAAATTTTGAGCAAATAAGTTTGAGGACATAATCTTTGGGGATATACATAAGTTATGACATCTCCATCGTCTTAAATCATTTCACAAACCTCCAAACCGTATTTTTTTTGAAAAGTTAAAAGCTAATTTAGTGAACAACTCCTAAGGCTATTAAAAAACAACAGATTTTTTTTTTCAAAAGGAATT